TCACACAATCACAAACACATACACACACAATTTCTCCCCAGTTATTCTCTTTTGGAATAGACATTTATTAACAGGATTCCCTTCACTATGGACAGACCACAACAGAGATCAAATTATCACAAATTAAGGAAGGTCTCAAGAATATATATACTTTGGAGATAATGGGTAATTGATTCACTTCCATTTTCATTTCAGTGAAGTGAAAAATGGAAAGCTTTTGTGTTTGTATAAGTGGAACTCATGCCCAGTGGGACTATTGAGCATTTATTAAAAAGGAGCATCAATACTGGCACATTTGCTCTTTTTAACGGCAAAGCTTTCTACCTTCTCCTTTTTTCTCCTTTGAATAGAGTGGTCCACATGAAACTGTAATTACTTTATAATTGCCATGGCTCTGCTATGGGCAGAAATGCCCAGAGGCAGAGTACAAGAACAGTTAGTGTTTCATCCAGAGACCTCTGAGGTATCACGGCACAGTTTCCATTCAGGCCCACATTGTTCAGCAGGGCACAGCGAATAAAATCCCTTCTCTGAAACACGCAGTTTTTAACCTTACAAATAAAAAAGTAAAATACAAATATTTTTCTATAAAGTTAACTTTGAGATATGTCTGATAATATTCAAAATGTTCTAAATGTGTTCAATACATTTTTGTATGCACCTGTTTCATTCGGAGGTGTATTTTCAACATATTTGCATTTTTAATTTCATCAGTCTGGGCTTTTTTAATGAATGTATAAGGTTGTTTTCCTGTTTATAGATTAAAGACCTTGATTCCAAATCCGTCATTCTCTGTCTGGACTACTGGAAGAAGCATAGCAGCTTCATAGTTGGAATTACCAACAAGCTTTATAGTAGATGTGATTTTCTTCATGAGGCTGATTTGGGCACCTAAACAAAATAATATTCATCCCTCTCAACCTTATCCTATTTGTTATACACATACAATTCCAGAGGTTTTTTCTTTTTTAAAAACACTTTTACTTTTACTCTTGTAAAACTGGTACTTCTACATTCTGCTGCCCGTGACAGCGTAACAGCCAAGTCTGATCAAGTCTGATCCTTTATATAAATTTGTATTCTGCTATAACTTTCTCACAGAGGAGATTCGCAATATTGAACGTATATATAATCACCAACACCACTTTAACACAAATCATCAATACTCTGTTTAGCTGCTGGTTTAAAAAGTAATTGCAGAAAGTCTTTGATTCCGCCTGCATGTAATATCTGTTTTGAAATGGGCAGAAAGGCTGTCACTTCTTTTTCATGTTGACTTAAATGTGTGCAGATGCTTAGTCAAGCAATTGTTTTGATGCAATTTTACATAAGGATGTCATACAAAATATATAGGTTTTTGTTGCTTTTTGTGTCCCTATAAGACAATTTACAAATATTATGTGACAGTCATTTCCTCTTACATTTTGAAATGAAAATCTTGAATTGGAATGCATAGAGCAAAAAAACAGAAGTATCCCGGTGGTTGGCAGACTTTAGGAAAGAAAATCTCTCAGGTTACATCTAGTCTTGATTGACAGATAAAAAAGATAAACACACCAGCTTTGCTCAATAATAGAAGAGCCACACTTCTCTCTCCTTGTTTTTTTACCTCTTCTTTCATTTTACTTTGCAGCCTCCTCCTCCTCCTTCACCTCAAGGCACTTTGCTTTGATTCAGCTCTGTATCTGTATTTTAAATGACTCAATTACATGGGATCCCGCAGTGAAAATTACGGATGTTTTCCACTATTTCTCTCCGGTGGGACACAATGACCCCTTCCCTGGCTCCAATAACCTCCCCCTCCTATTCTCCATCCCTCCCTCCTTGGCACTCTCTCCACCTGTGCTATTTTGCTCTGCTCCCACTGTTGCCCATTTTTCTTGATAAACATTCACTTTGCCGGGTGTATCGGAGACTGAGAGGAAATAATAGCTAAATGGTCTTGTTTGTGAGCTCTCTGCACAGTGAGCCGACAAAAAGCGCAGTGCAGGTAATTCTTCTGCTGTCACCACAAAACAAGCCACTGCAAAGAGTTTTTTAAGGAAGATGCGTGGTACTGCTCAAATCCAAACACCAGGCATGACAGCAATAAACGCATATCAGCAGGCAGAGCTCCAGAGATGGACAGAATGTTTTTTTATTCATCCATAGGAAAGCAGACATGGGATTATTTTTGGCACTTTAAAGCCACAGCTTAAGGGGCCCTGAGTCATTTTAAAAGTGGAACCAAGCATTCATTCTCTCTGTCTGTGTTCAGTCTGCTTTCAAGATAAAAGCTTCACCTATTGCTATGTTGGTCATACTTACTGAAAGGAATAATATCAAGTAAAGCTCAAGCAAAGCATCCGGCTGGATCAGCTTTGAGGTAGCATTTGTGATGTGTGATTTGTTTGGATGATAATCAATATGACTTTTGACATCTTTGGTTTTTGAACATTTTAGAGTAATTGTGCATCTCATGGAAAAAGTATGATTTCTTTTAACACGTTACCACATCAGAGATGTGTGCCCTTTGAGTGCCAGATCTCACTGTGCTCTGTCGCAGAACAATGAAAAAAAACAACAACGCAATAATAAAGTATGGTTGCAAAAAAGAAAACGCAAATCCTCTGAAATCCTCAAAACTTTAAAATAATAATATCCCTCTGGTATAACTATATTTCAGAGCATATTTACCAATCAAGAAAACAAAGATCACTTAAACAGCAAACTCAAACAGTCCACATATCCTGGGATGTAACTGTCAAAAAACATTGCTTCATCACCCATCATAACACATGCCATAATGACCAAATAACCAGAGCCATTAAACATTTACATCATCTGAGGACTTCAGACTGGGAAGGATGAAGCTACTTGCAAAGGCACCTCAAGCCTGAAAAAACCCCCCATCCATTCACCACCTCCCAGAGCAACAGATCGAAGTACATAAAGAGTCTGTGCTCGCAAACAAACCCCACCAGTGGACCCCCGGGAGAGGAGGGGAAAGGGAGAGGAATGAGAATCTAAATCTATTGATGTGAGATGAAGATGCTGCATCAGTGCGGCCAGGGGGAACTGCTGGGTGGTGTGATGGGCCAGTCTTTCTGCAGCTTCAATTCACAAAACAGTGACAGAAACAATATTTTTACCCATCTAAATAATAGGATTAAACACGAGACTTTCAGCATTCAGTGGACTGAGATAGCTATAAGTGAAGTAAACTAATAGTAGTATAATGTCTTCTTAATCAGCATAATGCCAAATGATGATGATCTGTTTTAATTGACAGTGAACTGTGAATTGACGCACACATCATTGACCATACATGCAAGTCTGCGTAAACCTTTATCATGAAGGCCTGGCAAACATCACACATCTCTCCAATTAAACCTATGAAAAGTGTGAAAACAGCAGGGTACAATGTATTCAACTATTTTTGTATAAATTCAGGTTTGGCTTTCTTTTCATATTTGCTTAATATCTGTGGGACAACAGCACCTACAGCAACTCCCGAAAAGAAAACATAAATCCAGATTTTGTAAACTTTCAAGGTAATGTAGTGTCATTAAATATGGACAATATAAAACATTCAAGCTCAGCAATGCAATGAATAAGCCTCCTTTATATCCATTATAGAGGGGAAACTTAATCTGGCATTAAGAAGGGTTATTGATTCTTGGTAGCCTGAAGAGCCGGCAGACTCCAGACTAGTCAATGTTAGCAGGTAGTTGAATTGTAACAGGAGACTGCAAAGTCCTCACGCTCATTAACCCTTTTAGTTGACCAACATTGAGTAGCAGGCAAAATATTTCTATTTTTCCATCAATATTTCATCACCAGCTCAGGACAAACAATGCTGAAGGCTTTGACCGTAATGGTCCCATCTGTCTATAGATTACCAGGATATCACTGTATGGGTGTCCTTTGACACCAGAAAATAAGCTTTGACATCAAGGTGAAAACACCACACACACACTGGAACCATGGATGTTAGCTGGCCTGGAAGGCAAAGAGTATCCTGCTTTATTCTGATGGTTCTTCACAGATGGTCTCTTGATGTTACGGCAGGAGATCAAGTTTCAAGAGCATGAATGAAGCACACATCTGAGCTATTAGGACACATCAGCTCTGTCAGAGTGTGAGTGCATCTATATGCCATAGCTGAACCCCAGAGTGAATTCACAAATTAATACAACAGGTGTTGGAAACTGCAACACCCCTCTTAAATGTTTTGCTTTCATGCTCACATTCAGTGGAAGTCAGTTATCAAGCCAAGAAAAGTTGATGAAAAAACCCCCAACAACCTTGTATTCCAGCACAAAGGACCCCCTTTGTACTCAGTTAATACTTTATACCCCGAATATGAAAGGTGAAATTATAAATAATGCATTAATAGTAAGCCGGAATAATTAGCATCCTGGCCTGTAAATCACTTATTGTATCTTAGTAAGAATGACCTCATCATTTTTGCAAGGCCCATTAGCTTTCTACCCAAACCTCCGGGGACCTGTCCATTAAACCCTGTACCTGCTAAGTAAAGTAGCATTAAGTGAAATGATGAAACACAGCAAACAATTGGCAGTTTATTGAGGTATAACTGGCCATTGACAGGCAAGTAAAACATCAAGTGATGACGTTAAAAGTAAAAAGAAAAAAAAGAATTCTCATAAGACAACCCATTAACTGGATGTCAAGTTATATGAGGCATGGAAATGAGAGTGATGCCTCTACAGATGTTAAATCAAATGCACATATACTTCCTCCCAGCATTCCTCTGTGGTGTCCTAAAGGTATTGAGGACCAGACATAAGTATAAAAGCCTCCATACAGCTCCTCAGGTTTGGGTTACAGAAAAACCATAGTGAAGGAGAGTCACTTTGACTCCTAATTGGTGGTAATTAACCGTCTATGGTCATTGTTCTTGTTTTTTGTGTTTAAAGAGGAGAGGTCAATGAACATGAGAACCTTTTCCAGCTGACAAGTTGATGAAGATGAGAGATTGAATGACCACAAATTCCTCTGATGGTTATGAGAAAACAGAAATGAGCTTTGGTTGACTCATTTTTAAATGTACTTTTCAAACAAATCAATTTGGAGTTACTGAGTTTACACTTTAATTCTTGCATTGGTCCCTACCTTTCTTAAGAAAATATTCAAAATTGTATGCGATCACTGCAAGCTGACAAGCTGAATTTACAATTCAATAAAACAATAAAAGAGATGAACTTATGAAATTATTCTTATGCTATATCTATAAACTTCAAATGAAGTGTGTTCAGTGGAACGAAAGCTGAAAAATAAAACAACGCAATTTGACAAAGGAAGTATCGGAGACTGAAGAATGTTGCTGCAGACTTGCATAAGTAATGTGTAGGGGAAAATATGTAGAAGGAGTCTAGTAAAAGGGGAATTAATAATTGATTTCTGTTTTATGAATGAACACTGAGCATTACAGGGACAACCTTTTTGTTCAACACTATTTTAAACGCATGCATATAGAACAAGTAAAAACAAGTCTTTATTAATGACCATTAATAAATGGTCAAAAACACTAAACGGTCAGTGTTTTTTTCTTATTGTCCCAAAACACTGAATCAGTGATTCCTAGCATGGCTTTGCCCTCTCATTGCCAGCGGCCTTACCCTGTGCACTTCATCTCAGAGGTCATGGGCCCTGATCCAGAACAATAGCCTCCTTTGTACAAACCCTGTTGGAGAGTGACAGGGACTTGAAGGTTAGTCGACCTGGACTCCTGAGGAAACACAGGAGTGTCCATTAGGGCTTGGTCCTGCACTGCTGCCGACTTTCATGTAGCGCTATTGTTACACGGCTCTCTCGTGGGAGGTAGACACCGAGTGGGTAATGAGGGGTAATTGGTCCAGGGTCAAGGATGATTAATTCCCCTAGTCAGGTGTCAGCCAGTTTTCATACCTGACCGGCTGAGCAGGCAGGTAAGGAGGGAGGAAAAGGTGTATGGAATATGAGATGTGGTAAATGGCTAAGAAAGTGGATGCGTAGCCCGACACACACACACACACACACACAGAAATCTGGAGATATATAAAGTAAGCAGGGGAGGAGGCTCTCAAACAAAAACCATCATACAATCCTAATGCCATGGATGGATTACTGCCTGGTTGTGCAGAGGCCCTCTGAGTATTACTCACAAAATTAACCAGACAATACAAGTACTGACAAAAAAAAGCATACAAACTCTTGAAGTGGCTAAACAATCAGGCAAATAAAAGGACTTTAAGGAAGCAGCAAGCTCTACACAAAATTACAACTAAGACCACAATTACTAACCAAAAGACTGCAAATGAAATACAAAAAGACAAAGAGACAGGAAAACACACACCAGGAGAAAAAAATATTTCAGAGAGAAAATTACTTGACAAAAAAAGTTATTACAGGAAAAAGACCTGAGAAAATCAACTTAAAAGAAAAGCAACTAGGGAAAGATGCAATACATGTATAATAAACACCTTTGCAAAGACCCCAACATAAAAAAACATATACATATATCCCAGCCAAAATTCCATGGGATCATATCTTTCCAGACACAAAGCTGAATGGTCACCACAGCCTTCCCCCTTCAGCCAGATTGAGACTGATAGCTGTCTCTATCCTCCCTGCTTTCCTTCAGCTTGGCTAACTATTTTGAATACCTTTCCATCCATCCCTCCATTCTTACATGGCAATTTTGGACACTGATTATCTTGCGACCTGTGTGTGCGTGACAGTAAATGCAGGGGCTTGGCTGGTAATTGACCAGGCAAAGACTCAGACGCCTGCCGTGTAATTGAGCAGGGGCCAAGGGGGTCTTGTAGGACTGAAAGGGTCTGAGAGTTCCTCACTGCCCATTAGACCTGGCAGGGGGTCCCCTATGCCTGTGGACTCTATCATGAGGCCTCTGCACTTCCAAGCAGGACTGACACCTTTCAGAGGTTGGGACAAGGGAGTGGCAGAAAGGCAGCTGTGAGGGGTAACATCGTGTGGAGCATCAGAGAGGCAAAAATAATTTCAATAAATCTTAAATACAGCCCAGTCTAGAAGATTATTTTCATATTAAGAAGGTAAAGAGTTAGGGGTTGACTATCGTATTTTATTAAGGAGATTTTATGCAGGGAAAGATAGCATAATCCATACCTTATCATTTTTAAATTTAAAATGTAATTAATTTTCTTATATTTCCATTGACGTTGACCATTTATTTGAACAATACTTAAATACATATACGATACATATTTAAAATGTTTTCCCATTTCTTTTTGACTGAATAATGTGGAGTTTGTGTATCGGCTCTTACATCACTGGTTTTTAAAGAAAGTAGCTTCACACTTCCTGCCCGGCACTCACTTTCCACTTTTCTTCCATGATGCCTGCAAACATTTAAATTCTAACTATATTACACCCATCCACAAGTGAACCAGTCCCTCGCAGAAAAAAAAAAAAATTAGCCTTGCAATTGCCGGTCTTTGTGTTCTTTAAATGTGGGGGGCCCCATGCTGAGCAGGGAAATATACATACCAGGCCAATTGGTTTTCCTTCCATTTGACTTGTGTCATTTGCACTCAGATTCGCCTCATCATTTCAGCTTCAGTGGTCCGGAGTGAGCCACCATGTTCCCTCTGGCCTGTGCCAAGCTCCATCTGCATATTGTAAATATGATGCTGTGTTCTTGAGGTTAGTGAGTACAGCCCTGAGAGTTAAACAGGCAGGCATTAATGAATAGGCTGCCTGCCAACGGCATGAACTGTTATGCACTGTCATACCCACAGCACCTAATGGACATCACATTACTGGATCTTAGACTTTCTCTAAGCAAGTATCAGAAAATAACCAAAGGAAACACAATCACACAATCACAATTAACTTCTTTTATTTTCAGTATCAAGCTACTTATACCAAGAATGAAAGTGTAAGATAAATCACAAGGAAACACATTTTTAGTAAGGGTTCACACTGTATCTGTAGACCTAATTCAAGAAATTTCCCTGTCCCAGATTTTAAGTCTGAGCCTGGTGTGCTAGTTCTTTATATAATCTGATGCCATCTTACAGTAGACGATACAGACAAATGGTACACTAGGAAGGCACAGAGTTGAAACCTATTCGTATTTACGAGAAGGTGGAGAGACGAGGAAGGAAAAGGTGATTCACTCCATAGCAACAACTAGTGCTTGGTGTCGGAGAAGCCCTGCAAACGGTTATGTTCCCTTAACCTGTGGGGGAACGAGAAAACCAAAAGAAAAAAGAAAATGTAAAATGACTTTTGTTATATGTATTTTTTCAACATTTTTGCCCAGCTGTTGGGAATTATTTTTAGGATCCAAGCAGGGCTGACCTGACAGCGTTAATCCTGATAAATCCAGAAGCGTCACATGGGTCGTAGTCTCCCTGCACATCCATGCTGGAAAGAAGGATATCAAGGAAATGCACGTGAGGGAAATACTTACATTTTTAACGGCAGAGGAAAATAAAGTTGAAGAGCAGTCCAGAGCAGAGGGCAATCTCACACAATACCGCGACAACAAAAGTGATTGAAATGTTTGGCATCACGGCATGAAAAATAAGCCCCACAGACTCTTTTCAGCTGCTGGGATAACTGGATCACTGATAATTTGCTCTTTTGAAATAATGTTCTGATCGATTTTCTTCTGAATTCTCATTTTTGGCACTGCTTCTCCTGGAAAATGGGGAATCAATACAACGGAATGAAAACGTGCAGATCGACGAGCTGCTCACAAAAGAAGCAAAACACTCAGCATTTAAAAACAATTCCATCATATCATCTGCGAGCTGAGGGTTGGCGGGACTTTATAATCTGATGTTTGTCTTCTAGTTTACCTCCTTCTTCTAGAAAGTAGAAAATCTATGACTTTTGTGAGTCCGGCGTTAAGGCCCTTTGTGTAGACACCTCTGCAGAGTGTGTGCGACTGTCTCACAAAGAGTGCTGCGTAATTACAGCAGTTTCTACCTGCAGTGTTTAATACACTCCCTTACCGTGTCTTCTCCTCCCTGTGACACCCCCAACTCCCAATGTACAGCTTGTACTCATTCTTCAAAAGCACTTAGCCAAAGAGGAAATTGCCAACAAATGATAGGATAAACATTAGAAAAAGAAAGGCCGACAACTAAATCATCAACTCTCAATACAAGGCTCCCTGGCTGGCACCTGAACACCATTATGAGTGAGTGGCCACAAAGAATATGGCACTTTGTGTGCGAGTGTGAGTGTGTGTAAGCATGCGATTGTGTATTCCTCCAAAGAAACCCTGCAGTCTAATTGAGAGCGAAGCCGGCCGAAAGCGAGGAGGGTGACATTTCTGTCTCAGATGGGTGCAGTGACAGGCTGTATTACCACTGTGTTAATGACGCCGTTTACTGTAGCCTGTGGAGAGCCAACAGGATGTCAGCGGGGATTTCATGCCTAATCTGGTCTGTATGTGTGCGTGCGACTGTGGCAGGTTTTTTTTTTATGTAGAGAAAAATAAAAGTATGTGTGAGAGACTGCTGCCTCCAGGTGTATAGGCGTCAGGTACCTGTCAGAGGCCCTGAAAACCTACTGAAATAGGTCATTAAGCTGCCATCTAATTTATTCTTCCAGACTCTGTGGAAATGTCAGGAAGAAAATATCACTGCAAATTAATTAAAAACAGTTCAATTAGCAAGTGCCAAGACAAAATGACTTTCCAGAGTATTTTCATTTACTCTAACAACAAATGTCTGTATATGTTTTAAAAAAAAATATATATTTTTTTTATCATGTTACAAATGAAAAAGAGACTCTAAACAAATGTCTCCCTTTTTACTGTAAATCGGCTGCGGGTTGATTGCAGTTATTTCTGTTACTATTCAAACAAAAGTAAGATGTAAGTGCTAAATGCGTGGCGTGTTAGTTGTTTTAACTTTCAAATTTGTCTGATACTTTTCGGAAGTGTTTTTGCTTTCTGCCATTTTCTACATGTGTTTCACCTTCACATCCTAAAGAAGTCATTGATCTGACAGAAAAACTGAGAAAACCCTTCATTTGAGCTGCCTAATCTGTTTTAACTAATTGATCAATTTTAAATGAGCAAGTCTCAACATTCATCATCACATTTCAGAATAAGTCTGATGTTGTGGGTTTTGGACTAAATTATTATATTCTTTCTTTTCCTTTTTCTGGAATGATTGAAAGAGCCTCTTTATAGAGAAGTACTGAGCCATCTGTCACTGGCCCGAGGACTTTCTGATGCTGCAACTCAACACTCCGTCACACAGATGTGTTGCCCAAGCTGAAACTAAAAGAAAAAAAAAAAGAAGAAGGACACAAAACACCTGCCAGTGAAAGTTTTTTCTCTTTGACATGCTGAAAGATGGTCAAAATTGAAGGTTTTTGCTGAGAAAAGACAGAGTTTAAAAGCTGAAGGAATGCAATGTGCGCACAGTATTGAAGATATATAATTTCTGTATCAATTTGAACTGTTTTCCTCTCTTTTTAGACTCATCACAGGAACTGAATAACTTATTGTGTGTGTTGGAGTGTGTTTTTTTGAGTCGTGCTTTTTTCGTCCCCTCTTTCTGACCTGCTTAACTACCATGACACCCTGGTACTTTGGTCCTAAAAGCCCAGTGAAATCACCTCTCTCCTCTTGCTGACAACACCATTAGCTCTCTGACTCAAGGGTACGACTGAAGTGTGTGTGTTTTAAGTGGAGATGGAGAGCCATATGGAGGGCTTTTCCTTTGGTCAGTGCTGAGCCTGCCCGGAGGGCATCGCAGGTCAGCCTCCTGAACAAACCCACTGTTACTACAGCAGAGAGGCCATGGGGGTGTGCTGGTGGGGTTGGGGTCTGGGGCTGCCCTGCAGGAAACAAGTGTGACACTTCTCTGAAGTCTTTGTGAAGCAGGGTCAGTTAAGAATGCCGATTTGGGGGGTCATCACAGAACGTGAGCGAGTGGAGTGGTGCCCGTGAGGAAAAGCTGCACTGTGCACAGAGCAGCCATACACACACACACACGCACGCACGCATGCACACACACACACACACACACACACGCGGACGCACATCCGTCAAGTAAGAACAAGCACACCCTCTCATCCACTGACTCGTGGCTGCGTCCGTTTTCCGACCCCACACACTCATGTCATTCATTCTGCGCTTACCTGACCAGCTCCTCGTTATACAGAGATTTCGGAGACTCTCGCCCCAGGATGTAGACCTGCCCCTTGAAGACAGACAGCTGTACTTTGCCTTCCACATTCTCCTGCGACTTGGCAATGCAGTGACGCACAAAATCACATTCTGGACTGTACCAGAAACCTGAAAGAGAAACGTGGTTGTAAATGTCCATTAAAAACTAAGACTTTATTTAACCTAAAGACAGTAGTGTGTGTTAGCGCATAAAGATCCACTGCCTGGAAAACAAAAAAAGAAAACAGGGAAGTGGGCAAATATTCCAATACAAAAACATGGGCTGCGTGCGTCATCCTTCATGTCCTGCTGCACCACAAATCCCTTAAGAATGACTTGCAGATGTAATCAGTCATATAGACGGATTCATCCTTTGGGATGGAGCTGAAGATGAACACTAACCACCTCAACTAAATTTATTTTCTCCAGAATTTTCTCCTGCCCAGATACTTTTTAAAATCAGATAAACTGAGTTCATTACCTTCTTCATTACCTTTCTTTCTCAACACATGCCCGTGACGTGAACTTTTTCCAGTGAACAAACACGACAACAAACCCAAAACTGCACAACGACATTCTCCCTCTGTAAATCCTACTTTTAAAACAAATGGATCCGTTTGATACCCTTTAGAATTTATATGAATTTCTGTTGCAGGTGAACTCCTTTCTTCTCTCCCATTTCGCTGACCTAAACCATCATTCTCAGAGACAGATGGGAGAGGGATGTCTATGTGTTCAGAGGTCAGGCACACCCCGCTCAGCAGGGGTCCTCCACTCATCAGCAGCTGACCTCCACCTCATCATCTGGCCATGTTCAAAGACACAATACTCCCCTACTTTCATTCTCTCTGAACTGGCTCAAAGTGTAGAACAAGACAACTGCACATAAGGCTTGACCTAAAAAAACAAAAACAAACAAACTCCAAATTGTTTGTAAATCTCACTTGGTACACAACGCTGAATTAGTCTGTATGGCAGTTATGGGTAAAAGGGGTAAAAATAATTACCGCTTGGTGCCGCTTATGGAAAATCAATACATTAGTCCCCTGACAAAATCGTGGCAAATGCCTGAACCCTCACAGTAATCTTTTGACATAATTATGACTTTATCTAAAATAATCAGCTGTTCAAAAAACACATGATAGTCACACACATGAAGCAACAAAAACAAATGAACATGCTTGTCTTTTTCGTGCGATAAACAAAACTGAATTAAAATTCTGGCTGTTTTCCCGATCTAAACGCAATACATCGTTAAAACCTCTCCTCTGAAAAACGGCCTTGGTAAATGGTGACTGGTGCTGTCAACAGATGCAAGGCAGGTGGATTGTTAACATAAGCTGCACTACCAGCCGTCTACAATCTACAGTTATTAATGATTTAAACTCACAATGGGTTTAATCTCTGCCCTGCCTCTGAAGGTAGCACCTTTGTGATTGAGTGTGTGTGTTTTTCTTCCTGTCTCTGGAGGGTATAACTGAGGCGGCCTCGCAGTAAGTCTGTAATGGCACTGATCCTATTATGTGGATGAAGGTGCAGACGACTGGAGACTGGGCAGAAGGGAGGATTAAGACACCTGAGCCAGGAAAAGCTTGCGCACATGTGCAAACTTATAGGACATGCAGGGGCGCATGCATGCATGCCACATGCTTGTTTCTCTTTTACATAAACTGGTGACAAGTAAATTTGGTGAAGATGAAACATTTTAGTCGCTTACCATTGTAGATAAGTTCAGAGAATTTGATGCCAAGTCCCTGTTTGATCCTCCGCACCTCTTTGTCCATGGTAAATGTTTCAATGTCCAAATGGGCCTCCAGCAGGACTGTGCCTCCAGGAGTTTCATATATCCCTGGCAAATGCAGGAAAAAAGAAAAAACTCTAACCATTTAGTATTTGTTTTTACAAAGCGCAGCAGCAGGAATATAAACTAGAATTTAAAACTGGCAATTGGACGTTTAGAATCACTAATCATGTTACTCTTTAAAATATTTTATATGATATATAGACTTTTTGAAATTTATTTAGCCAAGATCCAAATCATAAAAATCAATAACCTTGTTTAATATCGATCATAAATGCCCTTTTAAAAATAATTCATAGCCATCTTCAAAGGCCATTTACAAGAATACAAAACACATGCCCTGTTCATCTGAGCTAACTACATCAAAAAGCTCTATTAGCCATTAGCAATCTGACAGCCAGGCCTTCACAGTTCTTACAAAACGTGGACAAGCCTGTCCTGGGCAAATAACAGGGTAGGAGGCCCCTGCCAGCCTGGAGTCTGGACCAGGGCTCTGTCTACCCTGCAATTTACCCCCTCTGAACAGGGGGGGAGGGGTGATGGAAGAAAAGATCAGGAGCATGACAGGAGAAATGAAGCTGTCACTTAAATGTCAGCTAAAACAAAGACAGGGCAGGGGCAATCCTACCAGATACATTTGACAATGGAAAATGAGTTTCATCAGTGTCATCCATTTCTGTGAAAGCTGAAATTGTGAGGAAACAAAATGCATTTTGGCATTCAATGCACAGTTCTTCCCATCTTCTGCCCATATATAGTCAATATGAAAGTTGCACAATTTTGAGAAAAAGAAAAAGAGCCCCAACAGAACACTTACCAACAGCTCACAGGAGTGTAAAATCTCACAATTTGTGAGACATTCTCAAGACTGAAGAACTCTTTCATGAGATTTAAGACAAAACTGTGGTTTAATCTCTTTCAATCTGGTAAGAAGTGTAGCTCAGACATGTAAGACCCCAAATTCTCCAGAACTGGTCCTGATCTGAAAATGGATAAGCACTTCCTCTGTACTGATAGCCAAAAAGCAAAGCTTAGATGCTGCTAATTGTCCAAAAGTTGAAAAGATTTCTACTTAAAACAGCTCGTGGCAGCTCCGCATGAAGACGACTTCCATTGGCTGTATCAGATAAATAAGTTGAAACAGCCCCCACCCCCCAACACAACTTGGCTTAAGTGCTCAGAAAAAAAGCTTAACAGAGAGGGAAAACAATGTTTTGTTATCTGGTTAAGCTCCAAATGTGGCAGTTTAGTTAGGCTTAAAGAAACAAGACCCTCAGTGCTATTGGAAGTTTTAATCTTTTATAAGGTCCCTGCAGGTAGGCTAACCCTGCTGCTTGCCTGCAGGGTTCCAAGACAGGAATCTTGGGCCGACTGCCTCTGAACCTTAGGGCAAACTATCACTCCAACAAAAACAAGAAACTAATACAAATAAATACACATCCTAAAGTGGAAAGAAATCACAACAGGAAATAGTTTGCTATCTAGAGCAGAGACATTTCTTCAGGTAACTTGAAAAAAAAAGAAGATAAACATACATGAGAAATGCTTTTGACAACTGTGCTGAATTTTCACAGTACTTTGACACGAGGCAGCGGTTGTCAAAAGATGAAGCCGCTTCCGGCTGCTTTTGATAGATACATCTTTATTGAGGCCATCACCAGTGCACAAGTCAGAGGTCTGACAGCACCGTGACAGGTGGGAAATGTTAGCTTGGCACGCGGGTTATTGAATGTTTTGAAGCCGAGTGACAACATTCTTGACAAACCATTTCAATCCCCTCCGCCTCTCTGACCCCACACAAATAAATATGACATGTCCCCATTCGATCCCTCCCATCATCTATTGTGCAAACACTACTGCTGTTCCAGAGGGGGTCAGCGCGCTCACTCGATGGTAGTTATTCAACCACTCGTGCACCTTATGCTCCACCTCTTCCTATTGCCTCTGTGGAGGAAACAGCTTGGATCTTTTGTTCGATAGAGGGAAGAGAAAAGTGGGCTTCCCATTTTCCAATTTCTACCTGCCAGGTTGCGCCACAGCCATGGTCTGCCGGCCAGTCTATTTGTCAATCATAGCACATAGAGTTGTGGGGGAAGAGGAGTCTGTACGAGTTCATGTCACTGTGCCACGTACGACAGGGACTGCACACTGGCCCCTGTTTGCTGTGATGAGATGCAGAGACTGAACAAAGAAGACTTTCAAGTTGCCTGTTGGTGCTATAGATAAACAGATGAAAACATCCCCATAAGACCGTACGTACAAAGATGTGATCCACTGTGTATTTGTGTGCATCCACCCATTATCTTCCTTATAGAAGCTGGATGTGTAGGCACGCATAAGTGAAAGGAAGTAACTTCTGTGTCCTGACTCCAGGTATACCTGAGGAAAAACACTTCTCCAGACGAAAGCGCTTTTGTCATCCAGCTCATATTTATGGGAGCAGAATTGCGAGCGAGACACTGAAAGCACTCACGGAAAATAAGTGCAAATTGCATAAAAGCCCTGCATGCTGAAAGGAAGGCGACTGAAAAGATGTAAACCTTGAATATTGAGTGGCAAATGAGTGGGAGCTTATATCAAGTGCATCATTGTCTGAGAGAGAGAAGAAGCTTGTCAGACTAATTTGGCATGGAGAATGCAATAATCAGGGCCCACAAAACAAACACAAAGTTTTACTCCTCACCTCGTGACTTCATGCCGATAAAACGGTTCTCCACAATGTCAATCCGACCCACTCCGTGCTTTCCACTGAAAGAGGAACACAGGCTATGAGGACACAATCAAACTCTATTTTGACTTTCTGTTTGTTTATCCCGAACAGCAGGCATTCACAGTAACCCCCCCCCTTTCTTAACAACCTTTAAAAAAATCTGTGATGGCATGTTAGTGCTACTCGCTGTCTCTGGCACACTGTCAGTTTACTGCCATTTTGGGGACCGTTAAAACAAATAAAATACTCCAACTAGAATTCTAGTTGCACTCCAAAGTGGAGTGCATGAAAGCAGTATGTTGCATTGTTTTTTATTAGGCTGTCACATAAATACAAATAAAGGAACAGCAATTCATGTGTGTTTTTTTCTAAGATTTATGTGACTATAATGATGACTCGCAGAGGAAAAACAGCCTGAAGTGAAACAAATCACATTGCCAAGTAGATGCGCTCATTGACATTTGAAACGTCACTGAAATTTAACGTTCTCCCTAATTCAACAATGTAAAAAACAAAAACAAAACAAGCTCATGTACCTTGTGCTCGTGATTTTAAATATCAGCAGAGAAAAAAGTGATAGAGACAATATAGAAAGGGAAAAGCTTTCTTTATTCCCTTTGATTGATACCAACGAAAAAATAAATAAAAAAGATGTTTCAAACAGGGTGAACTGACTAAAAAGGCAACAGACAGACTCTTTCCCATCAGAAGTAGACGAGTTTGTATTTGTATCTCCTTTTTTTTTTAAAGGTTGCAACATTTAAGTCGGCAAATGAACTGTGAATAAAAGCTGGTGGCAGCAGGAAGCTGCACACAGAGAAATGCTCACCCGATCTCGTTCAGGTAGGAGAAAATTTCCAGTGGCGTCTGTTTGGTTTTTCCTTCCTTCTCGTTGATCACTTTCATTGGCACCCCTAAGGAAATAAAGCAACAAATGTACTAATATTTTCTTAAATTGCTAAGAAAACTGTCTTAAGATTTACCAACAAAATTTCTGTCATTTCTGATAACCTAAACATATAACCTAAATGAAATTACCTGCATACACACTCTCATTTCCCTAAAAGCAAATCACAGACCAGTCTTTGCTTATAACACAAGATACAAAGACGCCGTTTAAGACGGATCCATAGCTGCAAGCCGAGTCTGAGAAAAAGATGCAAAAGATGATGTTGATAAAATAAATGGATGAACTATTTAAAGGCCCTCCTCATCGGGAAGCCGTGAGATTAGACAGGTCTTTAAGCCAATATAATTACATGCAGCAACACTGTTGCCGATCCTGGCTTTGAGCAGAGATTTATTTTGGTGTGTCTGAACGTTGTGGGCGCCCGTGCGGAGGAGGACAGCAGCACCTCTGAATCCTTCACCCATCCTCCTGCCTCCACCACGCTTAGGGTGTCTTTAAAAAAGACACCCACATTCGCTCTGCACACTTCCTCTCCGAAGCCACTTAAACCACGTGCACATCAATCACTGTCGCGGACCTGCTTACTGGTGGCCTTCAGCGAGCCACGCGGGCCAAAGGTGGAGGCGAGGAAACACACAGAGACGAGTGTGAAAGGAGTTTGAAAGGCCGCGCAAGTGGGACATGAGAGGACATTTTCTGCACTCTTCATCCGTCCAGTGTTAAGTTCTACACATACTTAGGCATGCTTGCAGTTGTCAGTCAAACAGCTTTGAAGATAAGGAGCACTTCTGGTCGCCTTTCAGCCAGTATTTACAAAGCTCGAACAGGAATGACATGTGAGGGACCTGACTAATTTTTCTAGACAAGGGCTTTGTTGATGGCCTATTCTCACATCGCGGGAATCACAGTGGCTCCCATGGAAGAAGAAAAAGTGCCTCCTGGAGCAAGAGAGGGCAATACGCAGAGTGCTTTCTTAAAACTGCACGCCCTCTGAGATATCTAATAATTAGATTAAAGGTTTCAATAAATTAACCGAGTGTCTGAACGTGGGAGTGTAGGGGTCGGCCTTTCGTCCCTGTGCTCTCTTTTCCCTCGCTCTGCCCATGTTGCAGGTTCTATCATTCACTAAGGGGTCTTTCTCCACCCGTGATCCTTTTCTTCAGTTTTTTGCACCCTAACAGTGCAGACAATGGGAGCGCAGACACAGTTGTAGGAAAAATTACTGCTTTACATTTTTCCTCTCTGTCTCTTTTTCCTCCTCACTTCTTTGGCATGACAGGAGGGAGGGATGATTTTTTTTCTTTTTTTCCTCAAAAAAGGGAGAGGAATGGGGAATAGAGCGTTTGACGGGGGTAAAGGTTCCTGTTGTTAAATATTCTTTTTTAATCAGTGAGAAAACTTTGGTGAGAAAGGCAGGGATGAAAAGGTGGGAGGGGGAATGAAATGAAACATTCTTGTGCTGATCTTGTGCTCAGAGGGAGGAGTAGGCTTGGGCCTTTGTGTGGACAACTAAAACAGCTTTTGTCATAGGTTGCTCAATAAAAGGGCCGAGAAAATGTGTGAAAATGGAGCGCAGGGCCACTAAGAACCCGCGAAACCAGTCTAGGCTTTACTAGTACATCACTTTTTACAAAAGCACATCTCATCTCCAGCTGAACACATACAAATCAACTTGTTTCACAGTTAACAATTTTCTTTTGAAAACTGGTAAAAAGAGATCTGGACAAAATTTTCTTGCAGGTCTACACTGACAAGTGCACAGAGTTTAAATGTACACTTAAGACTTATTTGAACTTTATTCAGTTGTGGTGGTTGCTGATATTTCCAACCAACCTTCAGTCCAACTTTTGAACTTTCCTAAAATGACGATTAAGCCTTGGTAAATTGGCCATTAAGCTCAGAGGATGAGAGGACTTTGTGTCCCACAGCCGATTGATGTTCTTGCACTTCAGTCTCCCCTGGTGACCGAGATGAAGGGACATCTGTGTGAGTTGCCTCAGGCCTGGATGCGTCTTGCCCTTTTCACTTTGCAAAAACATGGGACACGTTCTACTATTCAACCCCGACCCTTACGGCAACAAATCTAATGAGCATTTCTCTGGCCCCTCGGGGCCTGGTGTATTAGCTGGAGTTAATGCTTCCGGCCTCTGTGAGTGTGCGTGTGTGTGTGTGTGTGTGTGTGTGCAGGACAAACATGGCAGCTTTGGACCAAGCAATGCTGCGAAGGGTTAAGCATAAGTCTGGGTGGTCAGAAGAGGTGATAAAGTGCAGGGAGTGAGTTTTAAAGCTGGAGCTCCATGACCATCACTGTTAAGTAATAAAAAGAGGTGTGGACTGGAAGGGTGGTTAGTGAGAGCAGTCTGCCTTTTTTACTGATCGAAACCTGTATCCAAAAAAGCAGCTGTACAAAGTGTGAAAAAGACCTAATTAAATTATATCTCACTAAAAAATTACTAAAAATGCATAAGATGTGACAAATGATACTTTGCCTGCAATGTGTTGAATTAAGTTATGACTGGGCTTAGTTTTAGGTTTAGACAACAGTTGCTGTAATTCAGAAAATAAACAACCTTGCCATGAATATTAATGCAGCCTATCATCTGTACAGTTTAGGATGTTGGCTTTTGAACAGTCCATTAGGAGCACAGACTAAGAAAAGCCAGCACAACTTCAGGGCGGCTGGATGATTCTAATGTTTTTTCCTCAGTTATAAAAACTATAAGAAGTTTTCTTGGATTAGGGTTTATTATGTGAATGTATAGCAATGGTTCTCATTAGCCCTGAAATCTTGATCTAAATTATAATCTATACAAATTCCTGGCCAATTAAAAAGATACTAGCAAATAAAAAAATGAAAAAAAGCTCTACAACATAGTAAGTAAGAACTTTAGTGATGCAAAGTAACCCGAATGTAGCAAGTGTAGTAATTTGGCACTGTAGCTGACATGTTTATACATGACAGATGTTAGCATGCACACAAACCATTTTTGAACTCTATCTCCAGCACATCTGGGGTACTGGGAGAATCTTCTGGGTTTTTGGTCATCAGATACAGGTCAGCAGGAGCATGACTCTGAAAAACAAACGAAAGCACACACTTATTCTCTCCATTTCACACATTTCATTTCCCTTTAAGAATTACCAGGACCTCCTGAGAGACCTCATCAAAAGAAAAGTGCTGCGACTATTGTCTGAGGAGATAACGGACAGCCTCAGACGTGGCAGGTAAAAGAACAGGGAGAATGGTGCGTGAAAAAGTAGAAACCTGAAAAGGACATCAAGAGCTGAGTGTAGACAAAATCAATGCACCGTTTTTCTCCTCTATTTCGTTTTCATTTTCTCTGTAACGCCCTTCACTACAGGGGAGGAAAAGTGGGGATCACTAAGAACGAGTGAAAGGGCAACGAAGAAAGAAAAGGAAGCATAAAAATAAATAACTTACACCCTCAAGAATAATAGAACAAGTCAAAGAAAACTTTTGTTTCCAGCATGCGTTTGGCTTAAAGTGGCCCTTTCCTTATTTATTTCACAGCTTTTCAATTTTGGATTTTTAAGTGACGTTTCTCATTTGATTCCTTGGTAAATTGGGACTTTTTTTTATAAATGGACAACAATCTTCTAAGCCAAAAACCGCACTGCAGTTGTGTGTTTTTGTCAGCTTGTGGAAGCTGACTTCAGTACGTCATGGTTAGGGGCAGAGGGAGTGTGGCGCTCTGTGGAGTCCACCCACCCATGTGTCCCTGCAACAATTACATAGCATTAGGACAAGACGATGGCCAATGTCCCCTCAGCTGAAGCAAATTGCAGGGGGGTACTATGCAAAATAACTACTAGGTGCATTTAAATGGAAAGCTTTACCAGACTCTAAATCACCATACAATAACTAATCGGCATCTGCTCGCCTTCTGTCAGCGAGAAGAAAACGAGCAGCGCAATCACTTTCCTTCCTTTTAACTAAACACCAAAATTGACTGGGAAGACGGCCGTCTCCCTTTCCTTTATTTTCTGCCTCAGTGCCCTGAAAGATGCCAAATGAGAGCGAAAAGGAGAGGGACAAAATTACTACTCTAAAAAGCTTTTCAAACACAACACTGTATAGTGAATACCTGCTTTCAAAATAACATTAGTTGGAGCTGGAGAACACTTAAATAAATTCATAACACAGTTTCGGAGATGTTAAAATGTTCAAAATGTAAACTTTTAGTTTTGAAATCTACCATTGCAGAATAAAATATTTTTTGTTTCCTCTTTGCAGCATATTTCTGAGTTTATAAAAGAATTTTATTGCCAGTATGAGTAAGTTTAGAGACCATAAAATCAATTTTACTCAGTTAAAAACATTCTTAAAATGGACAAAAATTGTGCCGTTCTCAAAAACTCATGAGTCCTCCTACAGTGAAAGTTCAACCTTATGCACTACTGGATGCAAAGAAAGGAAAAGAAAAAAAACCATAAGGGAATAGGGCTGTGTTCAGTGTGCAGGAGATCAATGCATTTCAATTCAAACCCCCTGCAGGTGGACCTGTCCCAAAGCCATGGCCCTGAAAGAAAGGAAAAGGTAAAGACTGAGAAGGTGGGGGGCCGAGGGTATTGGTGGGAAATGGGGCGTGAAGCGCACCATCATGTAGCATGGAGCAGCTCCTTTGGCAGTCTTTGCTCCTGCGATATTGTTGTGCTAAACGTCCCCCATAAAGCGAAAGAGAAGGCTGACGCATGAACTTAGAGCAAGTAAATTTCAATCTTTCTACTTATTAGTTGCCTCATTGGTTTTCAATCAAAGCCAAAAGGGCCAAAAAGAGGCAGGGGTAGCAGGAGGGAAGGGGGAGGAGGGAAAAAGAGAGGGAGATGGCAAAAAGGTCTTCGGCGCACCGGATTGGAAATGATGCTTAAATCACTATGTTTCAAGTCTGTCGATCTTATTAAAATGCAAACATGGCAAACTGAGCCAGGAATGAAAGAATATGCATGTGATGCGCCCAAGAAAAATTTCTGTTCTCATCCCTAAAAATGCCTTGGTTAATTTTAAAGAACTAGTGGGATTTAATGAAGACAACAGGCAGAGCTGCGGCGACACTGAGATGGACACAAAGAGCACTTGCTGAGTATTACAGGTCAAGCCCGAAGGCAGCGAGGACACATGACAATCGCTGCCCTCTTTGCTTCAAAGCACACATTCACGTCTACGTAAACCTACGAGCCCACTTCCTACCCCTGCAGCCACTTCTCCGACCATCAATCTTTCAAGCGAGCCATGCGACCAGCAGCAAACAAATTTTCATTTCCTCCAGTTGAGCCGAGGCCTGGAGTTCGGCTCCCTTACCCCTGGGTCAACACGAGCAGTGGCCCATCACCTCTCTGATCAAAGCACTAAGTAGGCCGGGGGAAAGCTCACTGACAGAGGGTATAATTAAGACTCAGATGATGTGTTAATGACGCAGGACTAGTGTCAGGCTGCCTCAGGATGGGCTCTGACTGTGTGGAGGAATGAGGAGTGGTAAATTAGAGGTGGAGAGAAAACTGTGAGACACTGACAAACTTTTTATCCCATTTTGACTTCTGCACACAAACACAAAAATGACCTTCATTGCAAACTAGCTCTGGCTGGCAAGATTAACATTCTTATGTCCAAATATATCATAAGCTAAAAAAACTGAAAAATTCGCACATTCCTGCCACATTTAACTGATGGAACAGTTAATGTGCTGTAACAGAATCCATCCTGAGTAGAATCATGACAGGAGGGCATATGCGTCTTACATTTATAGAAGCCAGTACATTTGAGTTGTTTTCCTGATGGTATTAAATGAGACAGTCCAAACACAATAACAGCTAAGTGAGCCTGGACTGAGTGCATGTCTTCATATAGGTTAACGCTGCCAGATAGAGATGAGTAAATAAAGGTCTCCGGGCCTCTGTGACAAAAGGGACTAGGTTTGGGGTTATCAGGAAGGATACAGTGTTAATCACAGAGTAACCTGAACTCTGCTGACTCTTATCTGTAGGAAAACATATGAGCGACCATTTGGACATTTCCTAATCTGATGGTGTTGAGCAAAGAGGGACCATTGTGTCACAGGTGGGGGGAGCTGGGGAGCCTGAATAGTCAACTCCCGGCCTCAGCCTTTAGGGCTGTAACTGGAGGAGAGACAGAGGCTGATACAGAGAGGAGATACTAAGAACAAGGTGGCCCCTCTGATGGCCTTTCAGATGGATCAGAATCTGACATGTTGGCTTAGGAATTTCACTGAGAAAATGACTTCACTGTTGTTTTGATGGTCATATTTGGACTTATATGCCTACAACTTTTACAAACTATTGGGGAGCACTTGTTATTGCTGCATTTGCAAAGTTAAATTTAAGTTTAAATTCTCAGATTTTTTTATATCTGCTCTTTCTAATTCCATTATTCAAACACTGTCATTAAATTATGTGAGGATGCATCCATGTGTACATCCAAGAGGGTGCTATGAAGACTGGATGACATGAATAGAGTTTAGGAAAATATTTTCCCCATGAAGATTTGAGGGAATCACATTCTACATTCATCACAAAACTGTGTCTGTCATAAGAGAGTTTGTTTATGCTTCAGATTTGTAAGCCACAGGAAGAAATTGGCGTACCAACAAAAAAAGTACAACAAAGGAGGCTTTCAAACATTAACAAGCTGGCACTATGAAAAGCAAAAATGGAACACAAAATAACTTCACAAATGTCACCTGTTTCCAGTTTGTTTAAAGAAGATGTGAAGCTTCACAGTGGGCATTAGCGGGAGATTCTGACTTAGCACAAACAGAATTTCTGTATCATCTGGATTGTGACTCACACAGCAAACTAAAAAACCTGAATCAATCAAATCAAATTAACAAGTTGTGGTGAACGTATGCTGAAAATTACTATAATATTTACTCCCTTTTCACAAGCTCTAAAAACAATTTAGTGTCCAGGGTAATGTATTCAAATCCTTTTACCAATTCACTGCTCTGCACCATAAATATTTCATTGTATTTAATGCCATTGATGAATTCAATATTTGAGTAAATGGTCCAGAACACAAACCCTCTAAATGAAATCAGTTACGCAATACCACCATCATACATCGCTATGCTATTGAGCCAATTCATCTCATTCCTTTCAGAGCATTTCTTCACAGGACGGCCACTACAGAGGTAGTGGAGGGGTGGGAATGGGACGGAGCGCGAGATGGAGGTCTGAGAGCTACAGTGGCCCTGCCCCTGCGCCTCCTCTCCTCCAGCGAGGGACCCGTCTTCTCTTTATGTCACCCTGCGCTTTGGGGACTCATCTGTCTGGCACACTGTCTTTGTACTTTACTGTTACTGGTGACATTTTGGTGTCACGGTGTCACCATGAAATGGCTCCCCTCCCACGTTGCAGCCTGCGGCAGCGCGACCAGTGGAACAATAAGGTCCCGAGGAGCTGGGGCTAGAACTCAGGAGGCCCCAGCTGGGCGCAACGCCCTAACCCTTCCCCCTCCCTGGCTCCCATGAAATCGGGAATTAGTCGAAGCGTTGCTGACGACAAGTCAGTGTCTGTGTGTCCCCGACTCTTCCCAGGGCCTGGCTAGGACCCGGGGTGAGGAGAGACAGAGAGACAGACACATCCACCGAGGGATGGGAGCTCCGGAGGTCACTCGGGGCAACCTGCATGTACTGCGCCGACCTCCGACCCCCGCAAAGATCAAACTCATGTCTCACCCACGGTAGTGTGAGAGAGTGAGTCGCGATTGTCTCGGGTGGAACTGGTGTGGGTCAACAGAAGGGAGAGAATTTTTACTGCTGTGTCACCCATGATGTATAATGCATTCATCTAACAAGAAAACAATTGAATATCGGGTCTTTAACTTGATTTAGTGCTTGACAGTTACATAAACCTTTCGGTTTCTAAAAAGTTTGGTTTGTTTGTTTCGATTTTTGTCCTACACACTCCGGAAAAACACAAATCTGTACATTACATGAAGAGTTTTTTGTATGTAAGGGTTTTTAGATCCCCTGTCCATGCTGTCATAATCCACTTAACTGTTTTTTTGGTGTTTTGTTTTGAATAATATTGTCAGTTACTACAGTTAAAGCCTATCACACACCATCCATGAAGTATGAAAAGATGATAATGGGTTCAAATGAGCTTTTCTCATCTATCTGGATGCTGTTGTGACCTCTGCAACTTACCTTGGGATTCTCCAGGATGCCAGACTCATAGCTGTAAGTAACACAGACAAATTGCAGCTTAGTTAATTCTTACTGAAAGAAATGAATTGATAGCAACACAAGAGTGCACAGCATCACTCACGCCCACCTTATATGCATAAGGTTTGCATCCATGCTCCAGGGTGCTCGGGGGGTGACGGGCACTGGAATGCCGTGTTTCTGCAGTTTGACAGAAGCGCATGGCAACTTTACATTTCAAGGGAGATTTTAAACTGAGAACGTTTGCTGTACAACAAACTCAGAAAACATTTTTAAAATTACTTGGCTGTTGTGTAACCATATACATGTTTTTTCCACATCAAAAATTACCTCCAAATGCATTTCTTTTTTCAAAGTCAACAGTTCAGTGATTTAAGGTTGTATCATCACTTCAACACTACCAAAGTGAATACAAAGACTATAAAACATCATGAGCACCCTCTAGTGGGAAAAAGCAGGATCAGATGGAGGCATGAGGCCAGAGGATCAAGCCGGGCAGTGATCTGAGGCAGTTACCTGAGCATACTCCATCAGGTCCTTCCTCCCCTTGAAACGGTTGTAAAACTCAGGAATCCTCCACGGTGCGATAATCTGAAAAACACAGAGAAAGCTGCGGCAACATTATTTCACTCCACAGGCCCTCTCCTCCATAAGATCAGATGGGGAGCTAACCTTGACCTCTGGGTACAGGGCGTAGCATGTGAGCTCAAAGCGGATCTGGTCATTCCCCTAAAAAACAAAACAAAACAAAAAAAGCTTAATGTATGATCAATCTTCCAAATCAGTCACAGAAAATAATCATATTTAAAATATTTACATTGTTAGTCTGGTCTATACACATTAAAAGAACTACGTATAAGTAATTTAAATGGAAAAGATCTTTGAGTTTCTGTAAAAGGAACAATACAAAATTTAGCATCTAGGGAAGCCTTAAGCTTTTAAATGAGCCCTTCAAATTAGAGAGGATTCACCCCAGTGATTGAGATAATTACATATCACTTAGCTTTAGATCCATTCATCCATTATTTGCACAATAATTCAGCTCAATTAGCCACTGAGAGAAGAGCAGAGACGTTGCCCACACCTTTGCATAATTCCTCTGGGATTTGATTTAAGGTTTAAGAGATCTCACCATGTACAATATTCAAATAACTAATTCCATGTATGAAACAATCTATCAAATAAAAAAAATCCTAAATGGAATTGGAAGATTTTGTATGGAAGATTACAAAATTACAAATTAAACTTTTAAACGTGGTATTTGTCTCCATCTACTGGTCAAAAAAAGGACACTTCATTTTAACGAATGGGATGAAACTAATTACTTAGGACTTAAAACTAATCACTACAAATTTGCTAACTAAGGGCAGAATTAAAAAAACCCATTTTTTAAACCCATCTCTTACATAATATCTCCTGAAAAATGTAATAAAAGGTGTTATTATTGTTTCACATCCTGTATTTGTATTTCCCACAGCCTACAGCCCGGGTTCACTCAGACATTTCGCCACACAGCAGTTGAAAGAAACAAAGTGAAATTGTCATTAGGCGTTGTCATCAAAAACAAACGAGCAAAGTGAATGACTAATGAAGGCACATTTTTTCCAAATGAGTTTACCAAAATAAAAAAAATAAAAAAAGGATGCATCACTTTCAATCAGTTGGCGAGCAAGTCGAAACATGTCTGAGAGCAGTTTAACTCCGTTTCAAAAGATGCATTTCTATCTTTCTGGTGGAGCCCTGATTTGCTCAAATATTTTCCAATTCAGATTTTTTTAGGTAGCGAATTTAGTTAATTTTGCTTTTGATTTCTACCATGTGAGAAAAAGTGCAACTAACCGATGAAGTATTTCAGATTTACGAGACGCTTGTTCTAACAGAGCAAGGTGGAAAATGTTGGTTATGAATAAGTTAGAACTTTCAGAGGAGTCGCTTTCAAACAAACAGTAACAGTTTGTCAGATATAGTTTAATATTAAACCCAGTAAACACGCAGTTCAAAATATTTGGCAACCTTTTCGACAGAGAAAAACAGGAATCAGTTTATGATTTATATCAGGATTCTTCACCAACAGTGTGCTTATTTTCTTGATCATGTTCAGGTTGGGTTACCTTCCCGGTCGCTCCATGGGAGACAAACTGGGCGCCCTCCCTGCGGGCAATCTCCACCTGCCGGCGGGCGATGCAGGGCCTGGCAATGGCGGTGCCCAGCAGGTAGCGGTCTTCATACACCGCATTAGCCTGAACCGAAGGCCAGATGAAGTCCTCCACAAACTCTTTGCGCAGATCTTCAATAAAAACCTGCACCCAAACAGAGGCACGCGTCAAAACACAGGATTTAGTTAGCCCCACGCTTTTATTGGAAGCCTGAGAACAAACCAGAGAAATGATCAGGGTACAAATGTGTCATTTATTCAGGTCACGGGTAAAGTAAATCAGCGCTGGGCTCTAACTGACAAAGCTCCCTGAGGATTTCTATCAGAACCGAGCCCGGAGGGCTGGGCCTGACCCGTACCGTCCTTTGACAGGATCAGGCCAGTTCCAAATCCATGAAGAGTCCATGGAAACGTGATAAGAAATGTGTGTGTGTGTGTTTGTGTGTGTGTGCGTGTGTGTGTTGTCCTTGAAAATATGCATCTTTGACGCACCTCATAGAAAGAAGAGGAATTTGGGAGTACAACCACAGCCACAACATGACTACAATTTCTGAGTGTAACTCTTAAAATGAACAAAACTGTTAGAAATTTACATTTACATTTACACTTAAAAAACCTAAACCAGAAAGAGGTCCAACAAAAGAATCCAACCCTTTTGGGGAAGTTGGGATGATTTATGTAAATAAGAAATCAAATCCTAAAGAAAAATGGGGAAAATGTCTAGAAAATATTTGAGTTTCTTCTGGCATCAACACCTGTTGAACAACCTGAGCTGCTTTTTTCTGCATGATTCTGAATTCCCTCATATATATCCACTTCAGCCCCCCTCACCTTCTTTGCGCCAAGGCTTTCCGCCTTTTTCTGGGCAGCTTGAAAATCTTCATCTTGTCCAATGTTGGCCTAAAACATATGACACGTTAATTTCACAGCACATTGATTCAAATGAGCTATTCCTGGTTTTCTGCAGGAATGACAGCAATTTAAAGGACAAAACAAAGCAGGATCTTAGATTTAAAGGTGTTAAATGCACCAACACACACGCACATGGTGGAGAATTCTGATCATATGGCAAGTTTAAATTCAGATCACATCACAGTGGGGACGTCTGAAAGCAAGCGTGCAAGGCCATCAGATCAGAGCGGAGCAAGGTTTAACATTTTCCTGTAATTTGACTAAACAGAACCGATAAATCTGAAAAAAAATCTGAAACTTTAAATGTGTGAGAATTTCCGTCTTTTCATTTATGAAAACGAAGCTCCCCTATTTTCTGTTTTTCTCTCTAAAAACACATTTTCACAAAATTCGATGCATGCTTCTTGATGCTCTATTTTCCGATTGATGATGTAATAATAAGTCAGAACCAAATGGTGCACCTGCATGAATCCTAAGCCTATATCAGATTGGTTGAAAAGTGCCCTTTTCAGGTTGGTGTGAGAGCAGAGGCCAAAACCCTTTGGGGGTCTGCACATAGTGAGCACGTGGTCAACCGACTGCCACCCATCCCCCAGAGAGAGCCACAAACCCCATGAATGAGGTTCACGAGGGAATCTGTATGGCTTGCAGTTCTTTGTTGCTCCACAGTCAAAAGTAAATCCACCTTCATTATCAGGCCAAATCCTGTCATGAAACTGACCAGTACTGTACATACTGACCAGACATTTTTTTTTTCTTTTTCTAGGGCAGACTATGGAGAACAAATGCCTGCATGACAGGCTGCCTGCAAACAGTGGTACTAAAGACATACTTGATATACAAAAGCAGCTGGTTGACAACCAGACGGCCTGTTGTGCCACACGCGTGCTGAAACCATACCAAGTACGTGATGACGTCGTAGCCCTGTTCCTTGAGCCACACCAGAATGCAGGACGTGTCGAGTCCGCCACTGTAGGCCAGAACCACCGTTCCTTTAGACATGATGGCTGCTTGGACTTGGACAGGCAGAAGGGCTGAGGAGTGACAACAGTGGCACCGGTTACTGCGGCTCTGCTCAGAGGGAAACGTCAATATATAACCAAAGTCCACCCCAGTCCACCTCAGTCCACTTTAACCAAATCCAGCTTGTGGCTCATTGACAGCCAGCACAGGAGCTGTCACTGTGGACTCAACAAGTTTAAGGTTCTTCTTTTCAAGAAGGTGAAAGCTCTGTAAACCAGACATTAACAATTTTAAGTTGTCTGGACAGTTCTGCTCTCCACAGATATTGGGGTGGACTTCTTCAGTCAGTGTCACCTGTTGCTGGAAAACAAAAATTTTTATCTGGGATTTTTTTTGTTTTACATTCTGGGTTTTTGTCAAGCCAAGAGCTAATGATATCTATACGAATGAGTTCCACCTGTTGATGGTGAGCCCTTTTCACTGTGTGCGCACGTGCGCACGGTAGCCATGGAAGCAATAAGCGTTTTCCAGCAAAAAAAAAAAAGATGACGATGGAATTCTGTTGACAGTTGAATGAAATAATCAAAACGACCCAATTTAAAGGTACAGCGTGGCCACAAACAAAAAATGATGAATGATTTGAAACCGTGCGTCACTTTTCATTTCGAATCAGAATGCGCTCTAATGACCAAGACGCAGCGGTTCAGTCGTTTATTCGGGGACGGACTACAGAGCTCAGCCATCAGGAAAGACGTCAGGACCGGCCGCAGACGGCTGGACTCCCTTCGTTCTCCCGCTAGAAGCCGATCGGCTGATAATCGACGCACCAAAATAAAGATCTGAGCCGAAAAGGAAACATGGCGCACTCACCACAGAGATCCGGCTGCTGGCGATGAGCGTGCGGCGGGGACTGTGCACGTTCACCTCACGCGCAGAATGATCCTGGTGAGCGTCCAGTTGCGTCATTCATTTTTTTCCTTTTTTTTTTTGGGTTCTTTATTGGGAGATTAACCGATCACAAAAAGGACCTGTAGTTAATCATCTAGCTTCATGCGCAATAACAAATCCATTAAGGAATAAAAAATGATCAGCTATAGTTTCCAAACATATGTAGACTTCACTGAAAAAGACGAAGAAAATTAACTGTTTTGAATGACTTTCTGTTGTTAATCAGTCAAAAACATCTATAAAAATCTCAACACATTAATATTTCTATTGATTTTGTTTAAGGGAGGGAAATCACTAAAACAACAGTTTTACAGTTAAATTATCCTTTGACTTATTGACAGCTTTCACCCTGATATGGTACAAAAAAAAGGGTAAAAAACCCTCTCTCCCACCAACTCAGGTGGAAAACTATCGGCCGGTTTCTCTGCTTCCATTTCTGTCAAAGACCATTGAAAGGGCAGTCTTTAAGCAGGTCACAGACTACCTTTCACAAAACAAACTCCTCGATACAAATCAGTCTGGGTTTAAAAGTGGCCACTCCACTGAAACGGCTCTGTTGTCTGTGACAGAAGCCCTAAAAGAGGCAAGGGCAAATGCCAAGTCCTCAGTACTTATCCTCCTTGACTTATCAGCCGCATTTGACACAGTCAATCATGACATCCTTCTGTCTATACTCTCGAGTATGGGCATCACAGGGAGAGCACACTCCTGGTTTGAGTCGTACCTCACTGGTCGATCATTTAAAGTATCCTGGCTTGGTCACACTTCTGCAGTGCACCACCTCGCCACAGGGGTTCCTCAAGGTTCAGTACTTGGACCTCTTCTCTTTGCTATATATACCACTTCCTTGGCCCAGATCATTCAATCACATGGTTTCTCCTACCACTGCTATGCTGATGATACACAGCTCTATCTGTCATTCCCACCTGATGACCACTCGGTCTCAGCACGCATCTCAGACTGTCTCTCTGACATATCAAAATGGATGAAAGCCCACCACCTCCAGCTGAATCTCTCAAAAACTGAACTGCTTGTCTTTCCAGCCAAACCAACTATTCACCACAATATTCACATCCAAACTGAATCCCTCTCTCTGACTCCATCAAAGGCAGCAAGAAACTTGGGTGTCATGATTGATGACCAGCTGACCTTTAAAGATCACGTTGCCTCTGTTTCTCGATCCTGTCGCTTCGCATTACTAAACATAAGAAAGATCCGGCCGTACCTAACACAACATGCTACCCAGCTCCTGGTGCAGTCTATGGTCATCTCCCGCCTAGACTATTGCAACGCACTCCTGACTGGTCTCCCGGCCTGTACAGTAAAACCTTTACAAATGATCCAGAACGCGGCGGCGCGTCTGGTCTTCAATCTGCCCAAAAAATCTCACGTCACCCCTCTGTTCATTGAACTCCACTGGTTACCTCTGGCTGCCCGTATCAAATTCAAGTCCCTGATGCTAGCCTACAAAGTGCTTAAGGGTATGGCTCCCATCTACTTGAATCCCCTTGCAAAGGCTTATGTCACAACTCGATCACTCCGGTCATCAATGGATTGTCGTCTAGCAGTGCCTTCACCACGCTTAAGACAATCCAGACTGTTTGCATGTGTCGTTCCAAGATGGTGGAACCACCTACCAAGCTCCACAAGAACAGCAGAGTCCCTGTCTGTTTTCAAGAAACTCTTGAAGACCCACCTCTTCAAAGAGCATCTCCTATCCTAACCCTAACCCGTACCTCTACCCCCCCCACAGCTCCTTCTGTAGCCCCTCTACCTCTATCTCTATCTCACCACTGACTCTGATCAGTGTTTCTGTTCTATAAAGTTTATTGTCATTGTGATGAGAAATGTAATATTGTGTCTACTCTGTAAGTCGCTTTGGATAAAAGCGTCTGCCAAATGCATAAACATAAACATAAACATCTAACCCTTGGTCTATGGAATAAGTCTTTGTTTTTCATTTTTACATTGAAAAACAGTTTCCTCCAGAAACCAAAAGAGTTTTGCCATGTGTAGCAAATGTGTGTAAACTCTCCTCCCGGAACACAGAGCTGAATTCCTCCCTCACAGCTCTCCCAGTGTGCTCAGAGCAGCTGCTGCCCATTCACTCAAGCATCAGAGCAACATCTTTATTCACCACCTGCCCATCCATTTCTCAGTCTCCTATGTGTTCAATAGCAATACTAACCAATGAAATGGGCCTAAGTAGTGAAGTACTGAGACCCTCCCCCTAAAAGGCCAAATTCAAGTAAACATTCTATGCAAGTTCAGGCTGCTCTTCTTTTACTTTCGCCAAAGATGTGATGATTTATTCTTTCAGCATCAATAAAGGCTTCTCCATATCTCAAAAAGATGTTTGAGATGTTTCTTCAAATATTCCTCAAGGGGCACTTTTGTAGGATGAAAAATTTTAATGATACATTTAACAAGAAGGGGGCAGCTAGTAGAAGTAAACACATTTCATTACATCAATTCAAAGGAAAAACTTGGAATCTTACCTCTAGTGTATTAGTCCTGCAAGTCTTGTTATCGTTATCTTGAGGTGATCATGTTCTCATTAATATAAATCTGGTTTTACAGGAAAAATTGGTTCATTTACCGAGTTGATGATAGAAAGGAAACAATCAGCCTGAAAAAACATCTGTTTCCTCATATCATTATAACACAGTCATAATCTCTGAGGGAGCACGTGTGTCCATCACTGAACACAAAGCAAAAACAAGGAAGAAATAAGTGTGATTGTATTAGCTGATTTTTTTTGTGGAAAGTATTTTATAAAAGACAGCAATGAGAAAAACTTAACTATACCACTGCTGTGCCAATAAACCTTTTTTTTCAAACTAATGATAGGTGGAATTACTTAGTTAAAAGCTTATGTTATCCAAAAAGTTTGAATAACTCTGATGATCTTCAAATGCTTTCACTGAAGCGGTTGTAGACAAAAGTGGCAATTTCAAGGCCATTGCTGAGATTTTCTGGAATGTGGACATTTATTTGTATCCCATGTTGTACTCAGTTAGTCCACCAGTGGTCAGCATTTACCCCAGAACTGGCCTCTGGGAACCAAATTTCTAAAGCAACAGCATGGAAACAGATGCTGTTTAATCTACGCATCTCATTTTAGAATAAAGCTTTCAGACGGTATGAACTATGACAGGTGCATATGCTGCTGGACGGAGATGGATTTGGCTGTGTGACCGCTGGTCACCTGCAAGCACACAACGCCACACTGTCTTTATATTTCCGAATATTTATTTCTTCTCCGTGAACTTCCAAAAAACAAAAACGAAACAAAAAATCAAAAAAACATGATCAAAAATACAATATAAACTTTTGAAAATTAATACACTGAACATTTTTTTTCCTTTTTTATGTTTTTCACACAGAAAAGACACGAACAAAGACAAAGTCCAGGTGTCTAGTAACTCTGCTTAATCCTCTTTGTCGATCCAGATCCCAGAATCCAATGTTTCACAAAGGCTGTTACTGCCCCCGCCCCCTCCTGGGCCCCCCCTCTCCTTATTATAATTATCCTTATAAATCTGATCAGTTCACCGGTTAGGCATTTGCCCCACATACTGGACAAAGTGCCTGATATAGTCCTGAAGCTAATGACTGTTTTGAAGTTTTCCCCGTCAAGGAGGACTGCAATCCCCCTCTCAGCTTTCAATGGACATGTCCCACCCACGTTCCACTACCCATGAACCAGAGCTTCAGTCAGCTGAGACCGAAGATGTACAAATGTACGAAAAACTACGGAGGTGGAGATAAAAATAAAAAAAAAGAAGAAAAAAGACTCAAGAAGACAGCTGGCGAGCCACGGCAGGTAAGTTGTCAAATCAGTGCCTGAGGTCAATGGCTCGTGTCTCTGAAAGTCCAGAGGCGGAAAAAGAACAGCATCCATGGAGGACCGGAACGGCAGCACTCCATCTAATTTGTCAGTTTATGCAGAAAGTGTGAAAACAAATTTTGCTCCTAACCTATGGCATTATACCTGTAAAACACAATGAACTGTTTTCATTCTTTTGCGCACAAATATTCTTTGTTTTTCTTTTCGTTGCACTTCGGCAGAACGGCGTTTTTATTCTTGCCGTCGTGACAAAACTGACAAACAAGAGGCATGTTCATCAACAAACAAAACAAATAACCTAAAGTTAGCAGTTGGGATGAAAATAGAAACAAATAGTTCATTGATGGTTGAGCTGTTTTCTCTGGATTCTGTAAAAAAAACAAAACAAAACAAAAAAACAAAAAACAGGCTGTGTACCCTGATGAGCAGAGCAGGAAGAGGGGGCAGGTCTTTGTGTCCCGGGTGGTGGGGAGGTGAGAGGCGACGGTGCCAATCTCTGGCTTCTGTGGCCTACCACTCCTTCTTTTTCTCATCCATGGACACGCCGCCGGGCCCGAGCGCCACCACCAGCAGCAGGCCGCCGATGACCGAGGTGGTCTGGAAGAAGTCGTACTTGAGGAAGTCGTGCATGGGCTTGTAGGCGGGGATGGTCCAGAAAGCGTTGAAGTAGACGTTGATGGCGAGGAGCCACAGGACCAGGGTCAAGGCGGCGAGCTTGGTTTTGAAGCCGATGGCCACCAGAATGATGAGAGCAGTGCCCACCATGTTCTGCAGGATCTGTGGGGAAAGGTGAAGGCTGACGGTGAGAGACTGCTGTTTCTGATAGAACGCATGAGAAACGTAAGCCTTCTTTACATGTGATATTAACACACTTCTGAGGAGATGGACAGAAGCTGACAGCTACATCAAAACCACCTAAAAAACTATTTGATCGTTTGGATTTGATTGTCTCCCAGAAGCATCGAGGGTAAGCAGCCTCTGCTAAAGGCTGTAACTATTCATTCATAAATGCATGGTCAACAAAAGATCTTTGTTTTTAAATGAGACAATTTGTCACGATAAAAATCTAAATTTCTAAATGTGAATAAAATGCAATCTTTGCATCCCTGCAAGATTAAAAAAGAGAGGTTGTTTCAGTCAATTTGAAACTAATGTAAATGTATTATTTGAAAAAAAGATTTTTACATAAGAGAAATAATCAAATCATCATCATTTTCTGGACTTGTTTGTCTACTTGAGTTAATGTCACACTGAAGAAGATTTCTTTGATTTAAATAATTTCAGGGAATTACTTTTTGATTTTCAATCAACTTGCATATCAATCCACAGTGAAGAAAAAAAATAAACCAACATATCTTCACAACGAAACAGCCTTTAAACCTTTACTTTGCGCACTGTATGCATCATTTTATGACCTACCAATAAAATAAAATAAATGTGTGTGCATGAGGTGGTGGTGGTGTATGGGGGGGGGGGCTCAACGGAGGTTGGACGTACAGAGAAGAAGTTGGAGTCGAAGTGTAACAGGGTCATGAACATGAGCACCAGCAGCACTCGCCCACCCAGCTGCATGTACTGCTTCGGGGAGCTCTCGCCCATGGACGGGACGCCGGCAAACATGCTCTTTCCTTCTGAACGCGACTCGGCCAGCAGCAGGAGCAGACCTCCTCCCAGGGCCAGGTTTCTACAACAAGGAAGAAAAAGGTCATTCATGCCGGATGGCATTTTAAAAGTCCTTACGTCCACCTGCTCTCGTATAGGGATTTAGCGCAAGTGCTCGTTCTGCCCACTGAAACCCTTCTCCACCTTCTGACTCATCCTCTCAGCAAACAACGGGGAGATCACAGCTCCACACAGCGCACAAAGACAAACTCAAGCACAGCAGCACTCTACTTAACACGCGTCCCCAGAGACTGATGACTCATCCATTTGTTGCTGTGTAAATAAAATCACGGGCCTCCGCCACCGTCATTAAAGGGCTGGCTGAAAGCTAGCATTTTTCTCTGATACACAGCATCCAAACTAAAACTGTCCTCCGATGTGAAGAATGAGTTTCTGAAACATTTTGACAATGGCATAAAGGGCCGTGACGCTAGCTGGACTGAAGCGCTGGGCAACACCTACCTTATCAAAAACTTAAGGTCCCACAAAATGCTGTATGCAACCGTCTGGGGGGGAGAGAAATGAAGACATTTAAAATCAGACACATGAAAAAACAAACAAACATTCCTTTCATCTACTACAGTGTCAGTAGTGTCTTCTCACCTGTAGCGCTATGATGCCAAATAACCCAAAGCACGCGTACTGTACAAAGTTTCTACTGAGGATGAGGACACAACCCCCTGTTGGGACAAAGACACCACACATCAGCTATGGCAACTGACACCTTTGCACACGTTATCATCACTCACATAAAAAGAAAAGTGTCAACGAAACATATGGTGAGCTGTAGGTCACCATAACTGACAATAAAACTGACTGTACTGAACTCTGCTGGAACTCATGGATGGGCTTTTGCATCCAAGCTGATGTTTGCGTGCTAGAAATCTTCCCATGCCACTTTTTCCCAGACACTCACCCAGCTGTCCAATGAGGTTAAGCAGCACAAAGCAGGTGGCCAGGAAGTAGCCACAGTTCCAGGTGGCCTCGATGTAGTCCCTCTGCTCGTTCCACTGGAACCACATGCGGATCCCGTCTTCCAGGAAAGTACTGATGAGACAGAGGCGAGCCAGATGGGGCAGGTACTGTTTGGTCACCCGCAGGAACTGGAAATCAGAAAGGAGCCCGGGTCAGGAGGAGCAGAGGCGGGGGGAGCCCCGGCAGCCAGCTGAGCTGTGGGCGGTCAGTGTGGGTCTGCGTCCACTTGAAAATGTGGAATTGCTGAAAGTTAGCAGCACCATTCTTTTCTGCTTAATCTGAGATTAAACGCTCAGTGAAAGCTTTGTTTGCTCCATGGGTGTTTGTTGTGGCAGGACAACTCCTTCGACTCCCACGAGGGCCTTTTGTCTTATTATTCATCCTTTTCAGTCTTGAGGACTGAATGAAATCTGGAAAAAATATATATACTCCCACTCAGAGTATAATGGAGGATGAAAGTATGCTGCCGTCGGGGTGATTATGAGCATGTTTGCAACTGGAAAACTAGGGAAGAAAAGCTCCATCTGGTCTCTGATGGGAAAAACACTACTCAACTGTAATTTAACAAAAAAAAACTGTAATTTAACAAAAAGCAGTTGACTTGGCCTGTCTTTGTCAAACCTAAAAATAAAAATCAGTGTGCATGGTAAGAACAGCCAACTGCCTTCAGTCCTTCTACTGCTTCTGGCATGAAATGCAAGTTAATTCTTTTACCCTTTTTCAACTTCTCTCTTCCCCAAACACTTGTTTGCTCTCAAGGGTTATATAAACCATCAAATGAAAATACCTCATCCTAAAGGAGGAAAATTTAAAGTAAACATAAATAGGTGATAATAAGAGGGATTTCTCTAGTTTATCCTCCTCTACTATAAAATTCCTATCTGGGAACAAACAAATTAATCATTTGGATTGTCTTCAACACAAGTGGTGATTGACCTCAGATGCACAAGGCAAAATACAAACATGTTCAGCGTCCAGCTCTGGAGTATTTGCAGATAAAGTATCCAGTCTGTGGGAATCTGTTAAACCCTGTGGAAGCTATTTCTACCACAAGTGAACTGCCAAGTGTTTAAACAAAAATACAAACAAAAAAAAGAATAGAAAAGAGAAGAAGAAAGGCCCTGCCTTAGGCTGTTCTTCGGCTCGGGCCTTACAGACAGCGCTGTGTGGAGCGGCGGTGACCTGCCCCCTGTTCCGCCTATTCGGCAGTCCACATCAGCACAGTCACTCCTCGGCAGCCTATCAGAATCCACCAACTCCCACTAAGGCCGCCGAGAGGGACATGAATGGGCCGACTCAGAGCCAATCCTCGTAAGATCTAAGGTTGCTGTGACGGCCCAGAAATAGACAATTCTGAAGTGTGATGTCTGAGGAAAATGCGGGCTCAGGACCGCTTCCTGAGAGATGTGCCTGGTACTGGCCTTCTTCTAAAGGCAAACACTCAGTTGGAAGAAATGATCCATGTCCCCTTTCGAGGACTTTTTCAGGACATGCAGCACTCGTGACAAGGGGGCATGAATCAATCAGGTGTAATCAAATTAGGAAACTGGTGCGGTTTCAGAGTGCAAGCGACAAATCTGAGACACATCAGTCGACTGTTTGCCTTCCTGTCTGAGCCATTCATACAGCTCTTACTGGTCTGTTTGCAACACAGGACAAAAAAACAAAAAACAGCACAGTAACCTTTGGAAAGAAACACAGTATGCAACAGGGGTCTCCTGGTCTACACGTTGGTCCAGACCAGAAATCTGATCTTAGCTGCTTTTACAGATGAGAACATTGACTACAGCCACTCCAGCACAAATACTCCCACAAGGAAGAGAAAAAAGAGAGCAAAGAGCCTATTTAGAAACCCATCTGTAGCGCAGAAGTGAAGGTAAGGTTCCTAACCCAGTTGTTGGATGAGCAGGGTTATGGATCAGGCCACATGCACAGTTTTAGTGACACTCAAATTTAGAGAAAAATGCAAAGCAATAAGGGTGCTGAGTGAAAAAAAGCCAGCCCAGAAGGCGTTAGCTAACACTCGTGTGCTAATCAAAATGATTTCACAACTGCAGAGACTGGCTGACAGTGTCACTGTTAAGTTACCCAAATGCGGAGAAACAAGCTAACTAACAGGCAACAGAATATAACCAGACGGATTTATTCCTGACAACTGTTATCTAGTTTTACCACTGTCCCCAAAAAATTCGATCAAATCCATCTTGACACACATGACAGGACCAGGACACTGAGATCTCATAATTTCTACCAAACCACGCGCTAACATGCAGTTGTTTTGACCTAAAAACCAAGGTAATAATCCCTCAGCAAGCATGAAAATGAAAGTCACCAAAATGCTAACGTGATCGCCCAAGAGCTCTACCTCAAACTAGTTAGCGGCTAACAGCGGCTAGCATTATCCGGCTACAAAATGAAGTTACCTGGTCTGCCACGTCTTCGGCTTTGTTCATTAGATCTTCCTGCCCCATATTTCTGTACTGTTACAGCCTGTTCTGCTAAAGGCTATGCGCAACACAGTTTTTGGCGTGTTGGGGTTCTCTTTTTCGCAGGCTGCGCTCAGACTGTTCCACCCCTACTTATTTACTTGAAGATTTCCCGACCGCCTGGACGCAGAGAAAGGCCGCCTCCGCCCCACAATGCCCCGCGATTTGACGAGCGAGACGGAGTAGCCCCCCTACATGGTACTGCAACCGCCGTGTGCCACGTAGACTGAGCCTAGCAGGGGCTCCACACAGCCTCCGAGCATTGTTTACCTCCCCACGCAGGTAAACAAACACGGGCAGAAGCGCACAGCGCTGGAAGGAGAACTCAAATGTGCACCATTCGTTTGCCAACAGCCAAAAAGCTTCGAGAAGAAGAAGAAGCATTCAAATGCACATGGCAATGCAGGAAAACCCAGCATGAAGGGGGAAAAAGAAAAAGCCAGAAACAAATACTTGATTTGTCTGACAGAATAATGATTGCATCTTTACTTTATCTGCATTTGAAAATGAAACATTATGTAATAAACATGTTGACAGCTGGTTTTAATAGTTATAGTTATGTAATTCAGTGAAAGAGCATCAGTTTTGTGTTCTAGTGTACCAAAAAAGGTTTAAATTCACATCTAACACTTAAGTAAATACTTTAGCAGCATATCGCACTGTGCCCTTATCAATTTCACCCAAACCAACAAAAGAATTCAAATATAGAGGAAGTGTCTAAGCACTTACATAATAACACTGCTCTTAATAAGATGCATCCAATGAACTGATTCTAAGCATGTCATCACACCTTCTTAAAAGCAGTTTTTGAAGTCTGCTGGTCTAGAACACTCAATTTTGTGTTAACAAGATTGCCAAGGAGGAAACACATCAGTCATAATGCATAGCCACCCAGAGCTCCTCTGTCTATCGGAGTACTCTGAGGTTAAATGCGAGGTCCTCTATCCAACAGCTAAAGCAACAGGATGCTGGTGTTAAAAGTAGTAACAAAATGACTGAATAAGATCGAACCTTACTCTGACACAAAATGCTGCAGATGTGCGTCAAACCTTAGTAAAAAGTAACATATTTGGAAAGAGTTAGACAAAAGTCTTTTGCAACCATGTGAAATTAATAACGCAAAAAGTTATTCCTGTTTGTTGTATTAACTATTGAAATGATTATTCTCAGTCAACTTTTTCCTTTAAAAAAAAAATCATGTATTTATGTACAATATGCCACCTGTTGGTGTTTATCTGAGGTATTCATTGCCCAATACCAAAATATAACATTGACCAAATAATATGGACAGCTAACAGAGCCCGTGTTTCAGTTTAAATCCACTTCCATAACTTCAAATACATTTACAAAGATTTCACTTAAGTCAAAAATGCACTTGCTTTATGTATTTATCATTGAAAAGTAGTTGTTCTTCAGCTGTTTGGCAAAATAACACACCTTTTTGTCAGTTAATCTGAAAGCACAACCTCCTTCAAATGCGACACTGCACCTAACCACAGATCAGAGAAACATTAGGAGAAAACTTTAATGGCTTTTAATTCAACATCAAGTTGAAGACTGGACTGATTTTGAAGCAGCTCTGAGGCAACATTTAATGGCCAAGGATCAGTTGACAGTCATAAAAAGCTGTTCTTCTGCCAATATTCCAGTCGGTTTCAGCAGCAGTGCACCCTCAGGGAAAAGAAGACGCCGTTGGACAAAATAAAATGATTTTTTTTTAAGGTTGCAGAGTGGATAATATAAACAAAACCCCTTCAATATTCTGTGACTTCTGCAGTAGTATAGAAAACCTACACCTTGACCATTCACATTAAAACCTACAATGTATAACTTTAAAGACTTTCTACCGGCAATTTCTTAAATGACAAAAAAAAAAGACAGACAATATTTGGAAAATGCAAAGTTGTATTATATACAAGTGCATTTGACTTCAAACCAGAAAAACAAGTCCAGTCACAAATGTTCTGTATCATGTCAGCCAACCTCGCAGGAACTGTGAAACATCGGGAACCTGAAAACATTTGCCAAATACCCGGAACATCCTTGATAATGGATGTTCGGAGGTCGGCCTGCTGTAAACTGGGTGCCAGGATGGCCTCCTGGAGGATAACGACGGAGAAAGTCGTGGCATGTATGTGCTGTAACAGTTTACTTTCCATTTGGCACTTTCCCTTGCTTTTTATTCCCTGATTTCCGCTTGTTATTTCTGAATTTCTTCTGAAAGCCACCACCCTGAACCTGAAGAGGAAGAAAAAAAAAAGCACCGACATCAGTCTTTTAATTGCAGAAGACAGAAAGCTGTCTTCTTTAAGTATAAATTCTATCTCAGAGATACATTTCAAACACCTTTTTGCGTTTCTGGACCCCTTCCTTTTCCACCTCCATCTCCTCATCTTCATCCGTTTGGAAGTCGTCCTCCTTCTCCTCCTCTTCACCTCCCATGGTTTCTTCTGTAGGATTCTTTAATGTGAACACAGAGGCTGTGGGACAGGACATGCTGTTTAAACAATGTTACTGTGACAGCAAAGCAAATCCACCTTTTCCTTTCCTCGTGCGGTTTAAGCTGCACGGCAAACACAAAAGTGGTCAAAGGGATCTGCAGCGCGTGCATTATGTGTACTGACATGGGTAGAGGTCACTCATGCTGTCCTCTGAGTCACTGTGCTCCTCGCCGCTGGATGAAGGCTCCCACATACTGCTGGAATGTTTGGAGGCCTTTCCTCCTCTCATCTCCTCTCCCGTGTCTCTGGGCCTTCTCTGTTTCAGTCTGGCAGGAACAAAGTCAACCCCCTGCTTTCTGCACTCCTCATCTGCAGATACAGAGATAAGAACGCCATGTTGTGTCAAGTTGAGACCGTTAATAATCTTATAACACACGCCTGCAGGGAAACGTCTAACCCTACTGCACACAAGGCTCTTGTGTCTTAATAATTACAAAGTTGAAAAGCGTTTTCAGTCCCGAAATTGTGCTTAAGATGGTGAGTCAGAGAACCATCATGAGAAGTCAGCAGGAAGCGACACCACAGAGTGAAGTCTTTATCAGCTGATACTTTAGATAGCTTTTGCTTCCTTCCTGAAGGGCGAGTGTCACTGGGTGACTATGGTGCAGACTTGTGTGTGACGCGCTGATATACGAGTGCCTCATCTGAAACCTGCGATGACGCGTCATGCATGTGGATAACCCGGCCACTGACATTTAGAGAGGGCTTTCTTGAAGCGCTTCCCATTAACGTGTCTCAGGACGTGATGCGGCTGGCGGTTGAGATGCCTCAGGGTCAGTTTGCAGAAGAGTTGGTTACTGAAAGCAACGTGGAAAACATACACTCACATTCAACTCATCTTCAAACTGTCATACATCTCCTACAGAGGTGTGCTTGGCACAAAATGCATGAACTCTGAAGGCCTCCTTACGGTTGCTTAGTACTTGGCACAATATGGGGTTCATACTGGCTGTAGTTGAACTCTGCTGCAGCACTCAGTTTCTCATATTTCTTCCCCTGCGTGAACTTCTGCAGCTCCGTCAGCTTACATGGGAACTCATGGCCATTCAAAGTGCATTTGATCTGAAAACAAACAAGACAGGAGATTTGAGAAGTGCTCTTGATGTTAATCTTGTGTTTCCACTTAACACAGCATTGCAAAGGGCGATTCGTGGCATTTGGATTAGGTTAACTCATCCACACATGCAATCTTTTCGTAAGTGGCTTGAACAGATAGATTAGCTCGCAAAGCTAGCATCACACTGTACGAGCACAGTGCACACAAGTCGTGCAATATTTGCTCGCCCACCTTTTTGCCATCTACAGGCTGTAGAAAAGGATGATTATTAAGAAATGCCCCGAGGTCCGAAGGTGATTCATCCATGTCTGTCAAACACTCCAAAACAGAGGACTGACTTTATTAAACAGATCGCCTCCCCAACAGGAAGCTGTTTACACGTGGTGGACTGCGCAGACTCAGTTGGATGGGAGGGCATCTTGGCGCCATCTGCTGATCAAAGCAAGTAACTGCAACGTCGCCGTTCCACCAATGTCCCATCATCTGTCAACCCAACCTGTGTAAACTTGACTTTGTCAATAGTATTGGTAGAAAAATAGACGACTCAAGGTGTTTATCAAAACATGAATATTGGAAAAGAAGATTAAGGATGGATTTACATGTAAAAAACAAAACCTTAATTGACTCAGGTCAGGGGATCAGTCAGCTGACTCTGACAACGCAGGGTCAGAGAGTACAAAAAGTACGAGGGTTTCCTCTTGTGGATATTTCAAAAACCTTAATTGTCTACAAGTATACATTTACATGATTCGAATTTTAAAAAAGCGATATTCAATAAAACAAAGACTAAAAGTCCTAACCTCAGCCATTTTTGTAAAACTACAAAAGCACAGATGATTGACTAAATCGCCAAGAAGATATTTTATACAGAGTGAGTCCTCTTAGTTTGGACTATAACATGGCTCTTAAATCCTTCCCACAATCCTTTGGTTCCGTAATAAAAAATTTACTATCAACGACAGATTTCAAGCCTCTAAATGAGCCATTTCCTTGATGTTTCTCGTAAAGCTGTGTCTGGAATTCTGTAACTATGAAGTAGACTACTGAAAGCGATTTTTTAAATTCTGTTGAGGAGCTATTCAAAGCGTTTCATTACAAGTGCTAGTAGCTAGCCGCTAGTTTAGGATTACGAAAAAAATACTCTTAGCTGTCACATACAACCAAAACAAGTAATCCGAAATATTTGAACAATGTCTGGACCAAATGGGGACCCGAGCATGTCCACTGAAGATGGAATCATCAACGACGACGATGACTTTGAGGAAGAAGGTATCTGTAAATTTACATTTGATTATAATATTGCGGATCAGTTGAACATTTATTTGCATTAAAGTTAAAACTAAACCTGCTGATGCTTTCAGGGTTTATTAATGAAATTGGAATTTACAGACTACCAAATAAAAAAAATACTACAGTGGGTAAGGGATTGTCATTAAATATTCAGCTCCAGAAAGTTTCTTTGAAAAATAAGTAAGTTTCAGATAGGTGATGAGCTGTTTTCCAGCCATGAAGATGATCTGACAAAAAACAAACAAAAAACGTACCCAGGCTGCTAATGACGTCTCTTTGTTTTTCAAATAATCTAATCTTAAACTGACCTGCTGCAAATCCACAGAATATGCTTCCATCAACTCCATGCTGGATCAGATCAATTCCTATTTGGACGACCTGGAGGAGCGCAACGATGCACTTAATGGCAAAATGCACGAACTGATGGAGTCAAATCGGCAAGCCCGTCGGGAATTCAGGGCCGAGCTCGTTGGCCCTTCAGCCCAGGAAGAGCATCATACTCAGGGGAAGAACTGTGCAGAGGGGGAGCCCTCCCTACCCAGCAAGGAGGACTTGACCAAGGAGAATGGAGGCGTGTAAAGCTGCTGATCTCTGTTGGGACTCTCCAGCTGTATTCTGCATAGCCTTACCTGTCTAACATTCTGTGAATCTATCCCCTCATAGGCAGATGTGTGTATGATTATATGGTTTTGCATCTCAAAACGCAAGTTTCTCTCCTGTGGTGAACTTTAACCTGCTGTTTTCCCTGCTCATACAACTCCAATGTTACAGCGTAAAAAGCTGTGTACCTTTAAATTATTTATATATATATAAATATATATATATATCAAGCAGCAACAGGATCCTGAGGAGTCAATTTATGTTAACCTTTGTACCTTTACAAGTCTGCATCTACTGTATTTGTTGTTCTGAATGATAAAATGCTGCATTCCAGATGCTTCTGCTGCATGAAAGTTTTGCTTTCCACATTTTTATCCTGGAGTGTGACCGGTGTCTTGATGGTAAGCATAACCCATCAAAATCTAAACAAAGTCAACATAAAAGGGGCTTTGTCAGACATTTTAATATAAATTACAATTACTCCCAAACAGAAAACAAACATCCAAAAATACGTTAGACTTCCAGCAGTTAGAAAACATCACCTGGTTGTTCATCTTGTTTTTTCAGTAGCTGAATAAAAATACAATAAGAAACATACAGCTTTGTTTGAAATGATTTTTTTTAAGTGTCATTTCCTCTCCTGCTTCAGTCAGTTTCAGAGATTAAGGAGTTTAATTCATTTCGCGTCTCGTTCCTTCAGATATGAAGCCAAACCAAGCACGTGACTACGAGGGTTGCTACATTTGTCAGTCTCTTGTGGTTTTAAACAGCCTTCACCAGTATGGAGAGTTTCCAGAGCAGCACACCGTTAATGAAGAGGGAACCAACACTTCCTCATCAGGGCTAAAATGACAGACTTGCGTTCTTGGATGAAACTGGTGCTTCAAATCAGAGACAAGCATTTGTGCGAATTTCTTTTTTTGTTGCTACATTAAAAAACCAACACACACACACTTGTGAATTTTCCTTTTGGATTCTGTCCTGTGTACAGAGATCTTAAAAAAACAAAAAAACAACAAAAAGGAACACAGTTTTAAAAGGTGAAAAATGCACACAAAGAACAGTATTGCTCTGTGAACGCTAACAGAAGCATTTCATGAAGAGGGACCCATCTCCAAGTTAGGCTGACTTTTAAAATATGGGAATGTGACACCAAACCGGATTTTGCATAAACGTCTGTGGTGCCAACACTTGTCATTCTACTTGGATTCTTTCTTCTTCATGGAGTTGGGAGCAGCATGCGGCTGAAGGGTTAAAGCCTGCTCTTCTCACCTGGGTGTCTACACAGCTCCTTCCCACTCTTCATTGCAGACAGCAAACCAAGAAGCATATTTAAGACCTTTTTCATCACAAAGGTAATTGCAGTTGGCGTTTTTTTCTCCTGCATACGTCAAATTTTACCCCACATTGTCAACAAATTAGCAAGTTAAAATGCTTTAAACCAAACTATGATCGGATTCAAATTTCCACATTTTTCAATACTCAAACCAAAGAACAATTTGAACAATTTTTCTTATGACAGCTGTCTACATTCTACGTTTCAGCGTTCTAAAAGCATTTGCTACATGGTTAGAAATGTCAAATGTTTCCACTGTACTGCAGGTATAACTGACTACACGTGTAGAGGTTTTTCAACGATTGTTAAGAAACTGGGGAGGCATTGGAAGCTGCAGCGGGCCCTCGTCAGACTGCTCATTTAAGGACAGCTGGGTGGATGATCAACATGGTGGTTAGAGAGCCACAAGCAAACATCAGTGAACCATGGACAGCTAGTTTAGGTCAGCGACTGCACTGCATTTTAAACTGGGGGTGTCATTCCTCAATCACTTACAAAAATACAACGTTGCATCTATAATCTTGGGTTTGCATTAAATGTAAATGTAATCAGTTTTCTTTGTTACAAACATCCTGCTTCCTTACTACTTGCTTAAAGTCCAACTGTCTGACTGTACAGTTACAGTGTCAAAGTGGGGACAGCACACTAGAAGCTCTCAGCCTGCTTGGATGTGGTGTGGAAAAAGCTAATATGGTTTTAAGACCCAGCACACAGAGCCTCTTATCTTATTTGATTATTGAAAACCTTTATGAGAAAAATAGATCTGAGGTTTGCTTTGGACAAATAATGTTATGCAAGTTCTGAGGTTAGTAAATGGCCTCCATAAATCTAATTTTCCACCTGAGAGGCAAATTAAACAGGCGTCCCCACAATAGACGCTGCAAACTTCTACTGAGCAGCTGTCCATCTCCCATGCCAGGAGAGAAGTCCTAATTGACCTGTTTGCTGAAGCGTGTTTACCTCTTGACTGGGTGGAGAGGGGAAGGGCTTTTGACTCCTTGGTCTCAGTTCCATAAAGCACCTCTGACATAAAGTAACTTCATGTTTTAGTGATGCAAAGATGTGAGCTCCCTTCCAAAACACGTTTCTGACTCAGCGTCTGTTTGTGGCCCTTCCTGACCTGCGCTTGGCCGTGGCTTTTGCCTTCCCTGTGCTGTTCTTTTTCCCTGGAGCAGCGGGAGGCTCCTCTTCCTCCTCGTTGGAATCCTGTGCAGGTGCTGGCTCCGAGCCCGCCTCCTCTCTGCTGCCAGCAGGCAGCTCAGCTGGGCTCACCGTGGGAGAGCCGTCCTCCACCCCCTGGTGAAGGCTGAGAGCTTTGTCCAAGTCCTCTGTGCTGGCTGCTGAGACCTGTGAGGTTGAGTCGGTTTTTTGTTGATTCTCTTCCAGCTGGTTGTCTGTTTTCATTCGGCTGACTGTAACAACGGGCTGCATGGAGTTCACATTAGCGGCGGCCTCCATGTCATCTGAGCAGTCTGTGGGGGCTTCTGTTTCAGACTGGAAGCTTTCAGCAGCTTGAATGGCTCCCCCGGACGACTGATCACCTTTTTGAGCCAGGGTGCTGTATCTCTGCATCAGGAGCACAGAAACGTTGCAGTAAGCGGTCAGAGGCTCACCTACAAAAACCTCTACCGTGCATTACATTCTTCCCCTCAGACCAGCTGGCACTTTAATCTACAGCTACTTTAAGGGCCAGAATACAAACTCACCTTGAGGTTCTCAAAGTGGTTCTGTGACTTGCAGTGGGTGTGCAGGGCGGAGGATTCAAAGTGATAAAACTTGTTGCAGAGTCTGCAGATGAAGCCTGCCACTGGAACTAGAAAACTGGACCCTGCCAAACCCAAACCCAAGTGTGAGAAGAAAAGGGCAGGGAAAAAAGGGAAAAAGATGCAAAAAGAGGGCTTCACAAACCATAGACTGTATCGGGGTCATACTGCTCATCACTGGCCATGTCACTGGGGGTTACTTCTTTAAGGGAGGACCATCCGTCCTGTAACTGAATTGGCTGTAGTTAGATCATCTCACATCGAGGCAAAAAATGGCAATATTTCTCATTACAAAACAATTAGATGCTAATCACCTGTGTGCCTCTTTGGTCTCCATCGTTACTCCGCCTTTCCTCTCCTTCCTCCCCCTCCTCATCCTCCTCTAACGAAAAGCCATCTGTGTCCATGGCAGTCAGCTTGGCCAAGGCTTCACAGCCATTTTCCTGAAGCTAAAAAAAGGTGACAAATACACTATTGAATTGCCAAATTGGGGCAAATGTAACTGACTCTATCTGCTACTTGTTTGTAGGAAAACACTAAATCAGCCTGATAAATAGAGAAATGGTCTCCACCTTCTGTCTGTGCTCCTGAGAGTGCAAATGCTCCAAAAAGTTCTGGGAGGTCTTGAATCGTTTCTTGCAGACTGCGCAGGACAAGATGTCTGTTCTACTTGCAAGCTGAGGAGACAGGAGGGTGCAGCAGATTTTCATTTGGACAACTAGAAATTATGAGCAGTTGAAGGCATTTTGCAACATCTGGAGCAGGTGATTACTTTGTGCTCCACTGAGCGACGGTGGTCTGTGAGGTTACAGGTGAAGTGGGAGCGACAGGTGGCACACCAACGTTTTGAGTCTGCTTTTTTTTCTCTGCGAGATACAAATATAGAATATAAGGATCACGTCTCCCAGGTTTTAAAAACTAGCATAAAATGGGGATTTTAGACGCACGTGTCTTTGTTCGCCCCTTGAAGAGACTCCTGCACTCGTGGCAGCAGAGAGACCAGACAAGCATTGCTCATGTGTTGGATCTCCATCATCCTCTGCTGGTGGGAAATACTGTTCATGTGGCTCCTGAAATTCTACAAAATACAAGAAAAAACAAAACCCAAACACACACACAAAAGAGGACACATTAGAAAATGAATAGAGCCAGAAAGCCAAACAAAGCACTGGATGACAGCTCAGGTGTGCATTCAACCCACTTGCTGGTTGTGACAGGTGATGCTGCAAAGGTAGCAGTAGAACTTGTTTGAGCCCTCCGCCACACCTTCCTCATCTTCGTCTTGGCTGTCCAGTGACACCAAAGACGCGTCTTTGACCTGTGAAGTCTCCTCTCCCGTTAAACTTACCTGCTGGTCCCCTTCACTCAGCCTGCCAGAGGGCGGCTGGGCTGACAAACAGCTGTAAGACTACAAAGAGGAATGGCAAATTAGGGCTGGCATGTGACCTTTAGGCTTTTCTAGTTGTAGTAAGCCACAATAAAGTAATCTTGTAGCTTTGTGTTGTTTCATTTTGTGCATGTTGTTACCATCTATTAAAAACAAGCTTTTCTCACCTGGTCAGAACTGGTTTCCTCCAGTGCTTCAACAACCTCTGATCCCCTGCTAAGGACTTCATCCTCCTGAATACTGCAGCCTTTGAAAAAGCAAGAAGACAGACAAATAAGTTAGTAACTAAGTTATTACTAGAACTAAGTTAACAGACCTCTATCCACATCTATTAAGAATTTTGTACACAAAGTAAAACACACATTAAGTTGATGTATTTTACCTTCTGGCTGGATGTCCTCGGTGTTACTGTTGCACTCTGCCAGAGGAGTAGCGTTGTCCTCAACAGCATGCTGCTCTTTGGGTTTCTCTGAGCTGAGGTGGAGAAGAAGCCAAGCATGTTGAGTGCAAAAAGTCAAACAGAAAAAAAATGTTTTGCTTTCTTCTGTCAGGTATATGGGCAAGTACCCTTCTATGGCTATATTTTCTGTCATTTTAATGCCTGGATAAAACTTGATATTTCCAGAGTTTTTACCTGGAAAGGCAGGAGGTATAGCGTTCTGTTTTTAAGACAATAAAATACTCTGTCCTTTAAACAACCTGCATGAGAGAACTTTGCCTGTCAACATCAAGCCTGACTAATAGAGCTACAGCCAAACAAGTAACCACGTTACCATGGTTATATGAAAATAACTTGGATGCGTTGCATGAGCCAACTTGTAACAGATTATTGTGATATGCACATTTGCAAATTCTGCTTTTTTTCTACTTCAGCTATCTGTGGACACACGAAGTGTCACTTTAATAGTTATTTTTGTAAAAATGCATTTAAGCAAACAAATAAAATCTAACTGAGACATAACTTTGCCTGTGTAGCTCAACAATGACACAGTGGCATCATGAACCAACTTGGACAAAAAGATCTGAATCCAAACAAGTTGAAACTGGATTCAGCTGCTCTGCTTCACACAGATGGAAGAAACCTCTTGCTGATGTTAAATGTGTCCAAACTGCTGCCAATCTTGATCTTAAACTTAAATTTTACACTTTTTCCTTTTGCTCTGTTTAATCATTTGTGGCCCCACTTTTTAATGAACACCATGTTTAGTAGAGAGAAAATGATAAATAATTTCTAGAGCATCAGCTACAACTAGAGGCCTTAAAATTAAATTATTTCCTAACCCTTCTCTTCTCTGCTTCTTCACTTTGGGTTCTTCAAGTTGCTCCTCAGAGATCTGTCCATCCACTCCTCCCACAGCACCATCTATGGGGAGCAAAAAACATTGAAGCACCCCTTATAATGTGCCCACTTAGCTATGAGTATACAGGAGGGGCACACCGCCTCTGTTCACTCTCCGTCTTTTACAGTCAAAATGTTTCAGTGCTGGTTGAATCTTAACCTGTTTGGGTCTCATCAGTGACTTCCTTAATACTGCACGCAGGTGCTGGTGGTTGGTCGTCTGTGCTCCCTGCTGCCATCTGCTCATTGTCCCTCTTCCTGTCTGACTGGCGAGACAGAGAGTCCTGCACAGAGACAGACAACATGGCTTCACATATACCTGGTATGAGGACATATGGCCGGGATCAAACTATTCATGAGATTACTTAATTTCATCAGAGAGCCTGATATTAAGATGCACTTGGGAAACATTAAAACAAATCTGCTGTTACATTGCACTTCATGTTAAAGCTCATAAAGTAAGAGTTTAAAAAATAACTATTTGATATATTTGTCTGGATGTATGAACATTGTCAATGCAGAGAGCGCGAGTTGTGCAACGTAAACCATGCCTGTTGTCCTCCCTTTGGAATGTTGTGCTTCAAAAGCTTGTTTTGAAAAATAAATCCTAATTATAAGTGTTAGTTTTTTAGTTGTATTACTTAATTGTTTGATTAACTGACAAAGTTTTACAAGATCTGAAAACCTTCAGAATATTCTATTTGGCGAAACTGTGTAAAAAAAAAGATTATGAGTCCTGTAAAACTGCCAAAGAAAGATAATCCAGAAAATATAAGGATGAGAATTATATGTTGACCTAAATGTGGTATATTTTCTGAAAACACTCATTAAATGTTTCTTCAGAGTGACAAATTCCTGCAATGAAATAAAACAGGGTTGAAATTTTCAATACACTTCACCTGTTCTTTTGTTAAGCACAAGATTGATCTGACAGAGGAAACATTCTGTCAAATCAGGATCGAACCGGTATGCATTCATGGCACATTAGCTGGACTGAAAACCTGAGAAAATATTAGTTCTTATAATGATGCTGATATTATTACTGTGGTAGAGATGGAAGAGGAGGAAGAGGCTGTGGTGGTGGGGGTAGTGGCGTTGAAGAAGCGAGCATGTGGGTGGAAGGGTCGTGCAGCTGGGAAACCCATGATGGGGGACTTGATGGCCATGCCCATGGGAACTGGTCCCAGCAGGGATGACCTGGTCCCTGCAGTGAAGAACTGCCGGAACTGCTGCCCACCCATCCCAAAGCCCCGCATGTTGCCTAGATGGAAGCAAAGCATGAGAGCAGACAAATGGGCGAGTCCTGTTAGTCATGTACAGCTCTTAAATACAGTTTAGATTAAAAAGAAATAAAAAATCTTGTTGGGCTTTTAAAGGATGCTGCTTTGTTAAAACTTTGTATCCAAACTGTACCCTGCATCTGCTGCATCAGCAGAGCACCCTGCAGCATGGGATTGGGGGCGAGAATGGTTGTCTGGGTTGCCTGGCAGAGGTTGACCATCCTCGGAGGAGGGGCTGTCTGAGGAGGAACAGGAATGGCTCTGGGGCAATAACAAAAAAAGACAGGAAAACACACACAATTATCACTGATGTGACACCATCGCTGAAATGTGCAGCCAAACAGAAGGTTTTCAACAAGGGAGTCTGCTTATTGGCCTAAAATGTGGAAAACAAAATTTCCATTTTTTCTAGAAACCTAATGTATCGAGCCAGTCTAAACTATGGGAGCAAAGATATATGTTCCTGAGTTTGGTTTATTTATTTATATTTAAAAAATAAAATGCACTTAGAGGGGAATATTTACTTAATAAGCACAGTAAACCATGCAACAAATAACTGCGCGTTATACCGCTGATATACACAACTAAAAATAAACATGCCTACATGCTAATTTAAGAAATACCTGTTTAACTTGCTACAAAATAAACTGAATACTTGTTTGGCTCATTCAAAGGATTTGGATAGAAATGAGAATTAAGTATTTAAAAAAAAGAATGAACAAAGATGAGAGGTACATTCCCAGAATTGGGAAATTATTGGGTAAGGGGAGCAAGACATAAAGAAAACTGACATTTAGAAGCTCAACATAAACCTAAAAACATAAAGTAGAATATTACATACTTAATCCTTTGAATATATACAATGGTAATTGTGCATCAGATATCAAAAGTCATATTGAAATGTTGCAATGTGCTGTGTGATTGAGACCCGTGCCACTAATATTTAAAGTGAGGTGTTGTCCAAGGTGAGAGCATATGGCAGCAAAGATGTCCTGCATCTGCCAAAAATCTGTTCGACAGTGGAGCTGCAATAGTCTGTTGGAGAAAGTGCTTTGCAGTCCGTTAAGTGGGAATTTATCACAACTGCAAACACCTACATTATGTCCAAGTGATCCACTTAAGATTAGATTTAGCTTTCATGGGTTGCAGGTGCAATTTTTTTTTAACTCTAAAAATATGAAGTCAGTGTCAACATGTTTGACAGTATGATTCAAAACCCCATAATGATAAATAATAAACTCTGCCACGGCAAGATATTTCATAACTGAGGCCATCATTGTGGTTTCTGTGTGGCTGTTGTCCTCGCAGCTCACGCTGCTGAGCCGTAGGTTGGTACTTATCTGGCACCGAAGGCCCAGCATAATCCCCGCCATCGCTTTAAAAAGCTTACCGCTGTGTCTGGTGGTGATGGCTGACATGGTGTGCGGGTGGTGGCTGTGGTGGAGGCGGAGGCTGCTGCTGGAAAAGTTGCTGGAGCTGCCGCAGGTGCTGGTGGAGCTGCTGTTGCTGCTGCTGCTGCTGATGATGGATGTGTGGGTTGAACATCACGGGCTGTAATATCCTACCCTGTGTTAAAGTGAGCTGTTAGACCCCGGAGTTGAGCGGTGCAACTCCTACAACACGAGACCCCGTGATGGGTAAAAGGAAACGATGTGATGGTCGCATGCACCTTTGTAACAATAATGTACAGTTAAGAGAGTTAGGAGACACTTAAAAACACTTCGCATCTCCTGAGACAACAGGTCACTCTCACGTTTCATTTTAGCTAATGTTAGCAGACATGCTAAAAACAATATAGGCTTAGTAAATGTGTTTTCATTTCCTCACTAATGAAACTTCACAGGGGAAGTGACTGTATAGACAATTGGCTGGAATATAATTTCAAACAAACAATCTAACATCAGCCAATAGATAAACTATGGCTTCACCTGCTATGACATGGACGAAGCCAATGCTACATTAGCCACCACGGAGTGACTGTACACAACAGGTTAGCTTAGCATGGCTTTCCACTGGCTAGGTATTTAGTATTTGTGCTCCTGGAGGATAATGTTCAACACTTTACCTTGCTGGAATTGTAACGAAAAACTTCCAAAAGAAGAAGGAAGCGACGTCTTTTGACTAACTGACCAAAAGCTTGACACAATTAACTACTCGCTGTCGTAGCTGCGGCGCAAGTTGCTGAAACCCAATCCAGCCCTCGTCATGACGCCTGGATCCTGTCGCCCCCTAGCGGTCGTCTAGAAAACCGACCAAAGTCTGCATAATGACTGGAGTCTTGAATGTTGAAGTTTTTTCAAATTAGGATTGCCAAAATGTTCACTGTCCATTTAAATAGGATGACATATCTGCTACTAATAACTAATAACTAACTAATATAAAACATTATCATATACTGACAGCAAGGCCAGGACATGAAACATCTAAAATAATCCAGTTAGGCTTTGATATATTATCTGGTGCATGGGCTTCCCAGAGCAGACAGTTTTTTCTGACCTTTTAAGAATGTAGTAGATAACTTCTAACTTGGCAGAAAGCAAAAAGTGATTCTCAATGAAAACCAGGGAATCTTCAGGTAGGTTTAGATGTTTAGTTAAGATCTGTGAAACTGTAATCCATACAGACAGAAAATATCAAACTAGACTGTGTCTGTTGTGTACATATACACAGAACATTGACTAGTCTTTTTTCATGCACAACAAGAAATAATAAATAGCTATCAGCTGGATGCTAATAAAACTGCTTCACACTGTGTGTACACACTGGTTCATGTGGTTCATATGCTCTAAAAGAACCATTCGAGGTTTCAGTCTACTTTTATGTTTTATTTATTTCAAAGCCATGAGTTTATTCCCATAAATATGTGTTTTGTGGTAGTACTGAAAAAATTAACAATACGTGACTACATTTCGGTCTAAAAAAAGAAAATTGACAGAAAATATCCAGAAAAGACGCCCCCAGGCGGTGCGTATTTGGTACTGCAGATATCTCCTGAGAAAATACAAGAGATCATCCTCATCCTTCTCCTCCCCTGCGGTGCTCGAAGAGCAGTGTGGTAGAGAGAGTCCTCTCTAAGGTGATCCGACACTGAGGGAGGGCCTTCAATGAGAGCGCAAACCGAGGGGTGAGCCGGCATTTGCGCAAAAACAACAACAAAAATACAACCAAAACGCCCTCTGAACGCGAGGGTCGCGAGCAGAGACGAAGAGGACGAGCAGATAAACCCGTCCCTATTCTGACAAGGAGCACGGTCCTTCGTCTCACATCGCAAAGATGGGGAACCGGGGGATGGAGGATCTGATTCCTCTGGTGAACCGAATGCAGGATGCTTTCTCCGCCATAGGGCAAAACGCAAACCTGGACCTGCCGCAGATCGCCGTGGTGGGCGGCCAGAGCGCGGGGAAGAGCTCGGTGCTGGAGAACTTCGTCGGGAAGTAAGTGGCTTTTCCAGGCTGCAGTGGATGTCAGCGCACACCGCTGCATCACTCGTGCGGCCCAGTCCCCATCCCCCTTATGGGCAGGTTCCGATTCACCGGGGGAGCTGCAACTGAGACTCGAACCGTCCTAAATTGTCGCAGATCCCCCTATTTTTAATGCCTTATCAGTGTCTTCCACTGACACAGCACTCAGGCAAGCAGATTATTTTGTGAGGCCTACACAAATCCCTGGTGAAGTTTATCTGTTTACCCCTGCATGATGCAGTCAGGGGCCACAAGTTCCCGTAAATAACTAAATATTTCATTTGAGGATTTATCTGTGATTGTTGGAACTAAAAGTAAGACACGGTGATTTTTATTTTATTTGTCATTTTTACAAAGGAATCACTATGTGAATAGAATTATGTCTTTTGCATAAATCCCAAGAACACTGTTGGTTAGGCAGGGTCACTGTGCAGAATGACCTCCTGTCAAACAGATACAGTGTCAGGGTGCTGGTGGTGCTCTGTGGCAGGGCTTCCATTTTGTTGCCCACAAGCTGTTTAATCCTGTATTGACAAGAGTGCAAAAAAAAAAAAGGAGGATGCCTGTCTGTGTGGAGATTTCAGCGTTATAAATGGGCAGTTTTCACGTTCAGCCACCCTGTCTAAGCTGTCACTGCTCCTGTTGATGATGATAGAAACTGAAGCAAAAGGGAGCACGTTTGATAGGTTATGCTGGAGTCTTTTCTGACCTTGTGAGAGAAAGAGAGTCCACCTGAGCTTTGAGCCCTCCTAGCTCAGCTCACCCATCTGTCTGCCGGCGCTTATAATGCTGGAAGGGAAGCTTTACTACATGCAGAGAGGGCCGCATGGGTTTTTGACCTGGTTTTCACTTAATGTAAAGATTTAAGAATTTCTTTTTTTTAAGTGATGTGATGCTTTGTGCACAGACATGCGATTCAGCGGTATTTCTAGCTTAAGCAAGCTTAGAATGTATGCATACGAGGCTTCAGCCAAAGCTCACCCCCAAGGCCTGGGTATTCCATGGTAAAATGTCATTTCCCCTACTGAACAGAGAGAAATCACTCTGTCCAGCAAGTGATTGTCTTTTAAAGATTTGGAACAGATCCTCCTCTCATAGGTAGCTTTATAGGCCTACCATAGTTCAACACATGGCCACTAATCTCCATCTTAAGTAGGTGAGGCTTTCCTGCTGTTTACGTCTCGGTGTACACTCACACACACACACTCACACCTGTATGACGTGTGTGTGACGTTTCAGGTTAAACAATTCTTAAAAGACAGCATCTAGTATCACAATCTGTTCTGATTTCTTATGTTTTACGAAGACTTACCTTTGATGCTTTGTTATTTTGTCCAGTCTCCTACTCTGTGGTAATTTCTATCTTTTTTGTTTTTGTTTTCTTTCATCATACTTGTGCAGATTTTTCATTGCATTTTATATTCTAAATTCGCACTTGCCGTGTATTGTTTATGACCATTAACATTCCCCCGTTTCTGTTCAACTACATATAGGGAGGCTAATTTAATTTGATATTCAGGACTACAAAAAGAGCAACTGCTAAAATGGTGTTCAACACCGTCTTGTTACCACTTTTATCATGTGTCTTGCATCCCAGTTTTGGAGGCCCTGTTTTAATGTCATTTGGCATTTATTGAGCCATTAGAACAATCTCTCTACCCTTATCACTAGATCATGCCATGTTGCATCAGTCAGTTGTAGTCATAGAAACAGCTTGTGGTTAATTATGCTCTCCCAACCAAGGGGGCCAGGGGTTCGTTTTAAAAGAGATTGAACTATTCTTACTAAAACCGGTTATAAGGGCACGGCCAGCAGGGGACTTGTCAGCCTGTGCCAGGAAGATCTTCAGTCTTTGCTACTGTGCAGAACAGATTGCTGCGTATTCTGCAGCACTTGAGTGGTTGTATTCATTCCTCTGGTCCAGCTGCAGTGAAGTCATCAGATCCTCCCTGTGCTCCAGTCTTCCTCCTCCTCCTGTCACGCATTGTGTTGATCTTATCTTGCTTCACCAACACAACACTTACAGTGCTGTGTAATTTTCACACGTGACCAAGCTTCAAGCTGTTTTTTCTTCTCTTCCATATCTGGCTCTCCCTTTGTCTATGATACAGATGTTGACGGAGAATGGTAATCTGTCTGTCATAAGATGACACAAATGTGTCGGCTTTCAGGCTCTTTCCACCCTCTGTAAGGTTTTGAAGCTTATGGCTCACCCAGACATGTTTCAGGCTTTTTAGATGTTTTACATAGTGTTTGGTTTCACTGGAGTACATCTTGTATAGTTGGCGGATCAATTTTATATCTCAAGAAGTCTCAAAATGATTACAGTGTCATTTTAACCTAGCTCTTATTGTATAAGAGATAAAAATGTACAATCAAAAATATTAGTCTCCGGTGGATTAGATTTTATATGTTGCTATTGCATTTCTGACAGGCGTAACTCAGAGACAAGGACAGCCAAAAGCTGTGTAGAAAGGCTGAACTAATATGAGGGAATGTCAGAGGATGCAAATGAAATTAGTCTGTTGTTGGTCATGCGTCCTTCACAGTGTCCTGCCTTGTGTCCTTTTGTGTTTGAGGCGTATAGTTTAATGTTTGTCATTCCAGTTTGACCTTTGTGTGTCAGTATTTTATGTCTCTTAATTTAAGTCTGCTAAACTCATCCTCCGTTGTTGGTAGCGTAAGGGGTGGAAAACTCCAAGGTGAAAACAGTAAGGTTAATCTAAACATGCAGGGTTCCTTAAAACATATTCAAGAACTCGAGTTAGTGTTGATCTAAGACTGGTGAGGAGGAACCTGCTTTTTGTAATATTTTTTGTCTGTAAACTCTTTGTTTTACACATTAAGATCTTAAAATATCCCAAGTTGTTCCAATTATATGACAAGATCCTTAGTGGAATGAGTTGAATTCAATGAATTATTCAGAATGATGGTTGCATACCTTCTACAAACATCACCAAAATGTTGCAGAGCCTTTCCTTCTTGGGTGTTGTAGCTGTTCACACAGGAGAAGGATCAATGTGCTCTGGTCTTCGATCTCAGTACATCTCTTTGGTTAGCCTGTGTTTATTGGCTTGGAAGAAGACATTTAATTAATAGAAAGTAGAGCATAACTCCTGTTTGCCATTAAAGGCTGTCACCCAGTTAACATTTTAGACTCCCATGAGCCTAATTATCATAGACAAAGCAGGTCTGTTGTTGTAGACACATGCAGCAACAGCTGCTTGAAACCTGTGAGCACACACCTGTTCAGGGAACGGCCTTTTAACTAAGAATGATTTCATCAATCAAGTGACATCTTATTTAAAAATACTAGAGGAAGGTGATCAGAAAGTGAAGGAGAAAGCACTCAATCAAATAGTAACGACTTTTGGACAAACCCGTGACAGTGCAGGTTAAAACAGCAAAAAAAGCCATGTATATGATTGTGATTCTAATTGAGTGATCTGTAGACATTAGAATCTCTAAAGAAGCACAAATAAGAGCTGTGTAGAAAGCTGTTCTATAAAATAGCATGGTGCAATTTGTATGTCTGCTTCAGGAAGGCTATAATTCAGTCAGCAAAATGGTCTGAGCAATTTTTGCTCAGATGGTTGTTTCAGTACCACGGACAGCTCTCTCTCTGAAGTACTGACCAATGAATCAGCAGGACTCACCCCCTCAAACACAACAAAGGCTGAATGTCATCTCCAATGACAGCCGCTTTCATGTTTTACAGTTCTGTCATCGTGCATGGGAGCTTAAAGAGCTCCTCTGGTCAATGTCTGCACTGGATAATGAACGTAAAGGTTCGAAATGTGTTCCTCGTTTTGGACCAGAAATATGAATATAAAGATATAAAAGAAAGATTCTTACTAAGAATCTTTTACACGATAAGGATAGGATAATCACTGATTCTGGTAAAGGAAAACAGGTTATACGAAACAAAATGTTTTTTTCTGTGATGCAAACAAATCCAGGATGCTGCTGTTGCTGTTTAACACAACTCAAACGACTGAAGCGTATTAATGTGAGTGAAAGCCGCTTGCATTCATACTGAAGAACTACAGCATTTCACTCTGGGCTTACAATCCTGTTCCAACCCTCCACATTAAGCCTACAATATATAGCTGGTTTCATGTTACATAACACTGATATGGAGGGTTGAAACTGTACCATAGCAGCACTGAACCATTATTCTGTTCACCCTAAGGTGGTGGGAATGAATTAACTACACAGATATGGATGCTGGACAATTATAGTCTAATGAGAACAAATTATACCACAGAATAATTAACTGTCTTCTCTTCTCATGCAGTTGAAACTTTGACCTGGATTACCATACTCGTTTTGCACAAACATTTGTGTGCAATTTATCCAGAAATGACTACTTTTTAATATTTTTTCTTTTTAATGTTCCCAATAATTTCAATTGTCATTTTTGCTTATTGTGACAGCAGAAATATAAAATGTACATAAATGTATAAATGTGTGCTACCTGATGAAAAGTAATCGCTCTCTAATATCACAGGATACAGAGCAGTAAGCACATTCCTAAATTACTAATCATCTGCTTGTTTTGGTTTGAGTGGATAACTTTCTGAAAGGGGCATTACAGTGCACCGGTAACACTTAATTAAATGTTTATTCTGCTCAAAGGTCTTCTAAAAGTCCTCATTTATCACAACTAAAATGCTGGAATTTTAAAGTGAATTTTGGTCTTTATCAATGAACCTGACTAAATAAGAAAAATATAATGCTGATGCTGATTAGATGATAATTTCAGCTGTAATTAGTTTCAGTTCTCTTATGGAAACTTATGAGGAAATTATCAGGCATTTATGGGGCCTGTAAAATTTGGTGTTATGGGCCTCGCCGGAGTAATAAACTCGCTTTTAAATACTGAGGTATACTCTTGAAGCTGAACAAAGTATGGACACAGGAAGAGTGAGAAAGCAGCCACTGAAAGACAGAGGACATCATTTGTTCTGATGCTGTTACAGAGGATTATCACTAATCTCTGTTTGGGCCACAGCTTGCCTGCAGCACATTCTCCTATTGGCTCCAGTCTAATCTCAGTTCCCACCATCCAGCAATCAGGAGCACCATTGGCTCATTCTTTCGCAGCAGTACACATTCATGTGTGTGTATATGCATGTGTCCTATTCATCAGCAAAAACCTTCCTCTCATTCTAAGTCCTATTGTGGATGAAACTCTCCTGGTTTGTATAGTTCACTGGTATCAGGGCTCATAATGCTGCATGCATTAGGGCAGGATTAGATGAGGCTCAGTGTCTGACTGTGTCTGGAAATCGGAAGTGAGGTTATGCGCACACGGGGCAGTGGGTTGAATTATTAAGTGATCACTTTGCAGAACAGAAAACCTATGACAATAGATAAACACATACAAGGTGCAAGTACTTTCAACAATAAAGAGAAGTGAATAAATACATGTATGTGACACACATCATCTATTAAATTGTACTGACTATAAAAATGGTTTAGGTAATAAACTTAAGTCTTTGGAAACGTGACTTGTGTGTTTTAGGGAAAACTCCATGGGCAATCAGAGGGACTGTGTGTGTGTGTGTGTGTGTGCACCCTCATTGTGGAATTTGTTTGCGTTGTTTTTACATCCCTGATTTTAAAAGAAGCAATGAGTCACTGCTCCACAGCTGCTGACACTCTCTAGATGCTTGTGTGGAGGTGTTATATTTGTGTTTGCGTTGTAATAGAGCAGATTAGGAAGAATAAATGAATGAATGAATGAACGAATGAATGAAAATGTGGCTGAAGGTACCTCAAAGGGGAAACTATTAAGTCTGCTGATCTGAAGCAGATTTTGAGAGCCATCAGTCAAATTAATCATGTGCTCAGCTGTGGGAATTATTAAGCCAACTATGGAGTTGACACGCAAAACTTACTCTTACTCTGAAACAGATTGAGACTTTAAAATCTATAAAATGCAGTTAATTGTTTTCAGCGAATCAAACCACATCACAATCAGACCTGACTCGGTCAACTGTAATATTTTAAAGTGCTTCTTTCTTTATGCATCAGTAATGAAAATCCAAGAGCAGAATATTTACTCAGCCATTGTTTTTTAAAAGGAAATTCACCCCATAAGGTACTATGGTAATTATGGTACATCCTATCAGATTTAAACATAGCTACTACATTAATAAACAGTAATCTGCAAAAAATAAACTAATAGTGTCATCAAAGCGTCCCAAACTGTCAGATACTCTATAGAACCAAATCCATCAGACCTTTGATTTGAAAGATTTTTACCATCGAGTAAATACCAGATACACCGTTAATGGTGAAAAAGCTTTAAGGCAGATAACATCTGCTAAGTTAGTAATGTCCACGTAATTGAAGAAGTTGTCTAGCTGTAAGCTTGAAATATTCAAGCTATGTCAGCCTTTGTATTTCAGTTTTGGCCTACTTCTTTGAATCACCACAGCCTGTGTAAGCGTGGGTGTTATTATCCCCTGTTTCCCTGTGGAGGATATAACAGAAGAGGGTAGTGGAGGGTGTTGGCTTAGGGAAATAATGAGTAAATGAAAGGATGCAGATGGGAAGGTCACACTGCCATCAGATTTCGATGGTCCTTTTTTGTAGTTAAAAGGTGCTTAAGCATTTATTATGGCTGGAAACTCAGTCAGTGGGAATTTTCAAGTCGGAAGATGAAGAAGATTGGGGTGAGAGGAAGACCTGCAGTTAGGACCATCTGTCTTTTCTAAAATGCATCCAAGTTAGAGAGAGAGAAATCCACCCACATGTACTCTTGCAGGCTTGAAGACCAAAAGGAACACATAAATGTCATGAAATGCAATAACAACAAATACTTTAAAAAAAAATCAAGACTGAAGGTTTTAGGAGTATGATGTTATATATTTATTCTATTAGGAACACATTTTGTTCATCTGGCACAAACAGAATTTTTTGTTTTAGTTTTGTTGCTTAACATCTGAACTGATTAAAAAAACGTTTAAGTCTAAATTCATATGTGTAGTTCTGTTATGAGTTGGCGAAAAACACAAACTCTACAGTGCCAGTCTCTTATCAGACCCCGTGTTGCGCCGTTTATGCGTCAGTGAATGACAACTGTCTTGTCAGCATCTGGAGGGGCGCTCTGTGCCAGTGGCCAGTTGATGCCGGAGTTGCATAAGCAGCCGACAGAAAGCGAGGCCTAGGGCGAAAGGTAGCCCTTAAAACACAGCAGCTAGCAGTGGTTAGCACGAACGCATGCTGTTATGCTGACACAAAGGTTTCTGTAAAGGTTTCTGCTGATTTTGATGATTCAGTTACTGAAACAGTTGTGTATGATTTTATATTTGGGTAAATCTGCTCTTGGAGCCACTGTCAGCCACTTTAAGGTAGAAATGAGAGTCTCTGATTTTTTCTGTATTTTCTGTCATTAGTTTGGTTTAAGACTCTCTTTTGTCAGATTATTGATGTCATGCCATCTGCTCATGTGCCACAGGGATTTTCTTCCCCGTGGTTCTGGCATCGTCACCCGTCGTCCCTTGGTTCTGCAGCTGATGAACAGCCCCACAGGTAAAATGAATACGTTCCTTTATGGTTCTTGTTTACCAAATAATAGGACATGCTCAAATCCATAATACCACTTCTGTCTTTATTGTGAGAAAATTACTTTACATGTCACCAGCAAAAATTATATTTGTATTTGACGTCAGTTGGAAAATATTCCGAAAATATATCATCAGTCATGAGAAGACACTGAATATGAAGTGTGGATAAATGGGTGTGGTTAGTTTTTTTAGGATGTTTTTGAATGTTTTTGTGGCATTCCAGAATCCTGTAATTAAATCTCAAAGGGAAGTAATTATGGCCATGAATTTGACAAGTTGTCATGATACTGCCTGTAGTGGCCACCAATCACACACCAGAACTTAAAGCACTTCTGCACTTATTTAACAGCTCATTCCCTGAAACCACATTCTTCCTTGCTCTTTTCTCTTCCACATTGTTGATGTATTTATATGTGATAGTGTTGTTTGCAGGAGTAAACCTTCCTACTTAACTTCATTTAATTTATTCATGAAATGAAATCTAAATTGAGCTGTTGAGCACTTTTTAAATAAAGTTGAAACTTTTAATGCACGTTGAGTATGTTACTGATTGCAATGTGTGGATTCAAGCACTTGTTGATTATAAGGTTGCAAATCATTTTCATTGAAATGTGTACCAGTCTCAACCTTCTTGTACTGACATACCTTTATTTATATCTTCTGTGTTTGGTGTCTTGCAGAACACGCTGAGTTCCTCCACTGTAAGGGGAAAAAGTTTACAGATTTTGATGAAGTCCGGCAGGAAATAGAGGCAGAGACCGACCGTATCACAGGGGCCAATAAGGGCATCTCCTCTGTGCCCATTAATCTGCGCGTATACTCGCCTCATGGTGAGACTGATTAAGCTCCCTTTCCTGAACTTGTACCCAATTTGCATGTAACTTTGCTCAAGATTAGATATGACCTGATTTAAAAAGTCTGTGTGTCAGTACTTTCAGCATTTTCTTAGTTTTACTGTCTATTTTTTCTCTCAGTGCTGAACCTGACCCTGGTTGACCTGCCAGGAATGACTAAGGTTCCGGTGGGCGACCAGCCTGCAGACATTGAGTCCCAGATCAGGGAAATGCTGATGCAGTTTGTCACCAAGGAGAACTGCCTTATGCTGGCCGTGTCCCCGGCCAATTCAGATTTAGCCAATTCTGATGCTTTAAAGATTGCCAAAGAGGTCGACCCTCAGGGTGAGTATATGTATCCAAACATGACACATATTTTCACTCATTGGGTTTACAGATTGAAAACGAGAACAGAATCCTATTAAGTAAAGAAAACATTCTTCCCACCCCCACATTTGTTCTTCGATGATCAGTAACTCTTGAATAAAAAAGAAATCGAATTAAGACAAAGTTAACGTTACTGCTGTGACACACTAGAGCAGAACAGTCACGATAACTTCATGTTGAATATTTAGTTTGTCCTTTTTTTAGCAATATATTTTTAAATGAATTGTTTTACCACAATTACCATGTGTACAATTAGGTATGAGAACCATCGGTGTGATCACCAAGCTGGACCTGATGGATGAAGGAACAGATGCGAAAGACATCCTGGAGAACAAGCTGCTACCACTCAGGAGGGGTGAGGGCTCAATTACACCGTTTTTCTACTTAAGGGGCCAGTTCAGTGACGCATTGTTTCCCTCTTGTGGTAGTAAGACAGCTGTACTCGAAGCTCTGAGTCACTAGGGGGAAAATGAAAATAAAAACAGAATGCCTGTTGAATGAGTGGCCAGTGGGAGGGAGTGTAAAGAAAAGGCTTTGAGTAAGAAATGAAAAGATAGTCACAAAGGTGGCGGAGAGGAATAGTTGGAAGGAAGCAAAGAGAAAAATCTCTTGGAAAAGATCTTGCACGTATCTTGTGGCTTTTTGTTGTTGCTATGTGCTGATGCTATGCTTTTCTTTTCCATTTGCACTTGGTTAGACCCCAGGCATGTGCTTTTAAATATTTTCCATATCCTTTGTTTTTCTACATTTTTTCCCTCTGTCCCTCCATCCACTGCTGTGAATGTTCACATTTACAAGCCTGAAACATTTTTTAACGAGTGATGCATGAGGAAACTTAACTGGACGTGAAATTGGGTCCTTGTGACCTAAACTCTCTGAGCCATTTCTCCCATTTCTTACTCAGTGTGTTATTTTTGTACCTTTTCTTGCTCTCACTCTTTTACCACTGGTAGTTTCTCAGTCTTGTGTTTCTATAAGTGGGGTTCCATGAAGGATATAACAATTCTTGGTATGGAGTTCACATCAAGAAAGCAACAGAACAGTCCAAGACTGCTGTATTATGAGACTAATATATATCATTCTCAAGGCCAAATACAAAGCTGCTTTTCAGCCTCCTCACAAATTTTTAAGAAGTTGTAAAAATAGTTGGATCCGGTGTTCTCACAGTGAACTCCAGTCTTTTTTTTTTATTGTAAACGGCTTATATGTTGTTTCCAGGTTACGTTGGCGTGGTGAACAGAAGCCAGAAGGACATAGATGGAAAGAAGGACATTAATGCTGCTATGGCTGCTGAGAGGAAGTTCTTCCTCTCCCACCCTGCTTATAGACACCTGGCTGACCGTATGGGAACGCCCTACCTCCAGAAGATCCTCAATCAGGTGTGTGTAAAAGTGCACCTAACACACTCTTTAGAATTGCAGTGACCTTACAATTACATTTAATTTGAACAGCAACTGACCAACCATATTCGGGACACCCTGCCGGCCCTGCGGGCCAAGCTGCAGAGTCAGCTCCTTTCCATAGAGAAAGAGGTAGAGGAGTACAAAAACTTCAGACCAGATGATCCATCTCGCAAAACCAAGGCTCTCCTGCAGTGAGTAGATGGCTGCATGGATAGAAAACAAATCTGATAGAAGGTCACATCTGTTGTTAACTTAAACTCTGCCTCTCTGCAGAATGGTGCAGCAGTTTTCTGTGGACTTTGAAAAGTGCATCGAGGGCTCTGGGGACCAGATCGATACAGCTGAGCTGTCAGGTGGTGCCAGGATCAATCGCATCTTCCATGAACGATTCCCATTTGAACTGGTCAAGGTATGTTCCCTTTGAATCTTTACAGCATGTCTGAGGGTTTTTGCAAACTGTTTTGTTTCACAGATTCGTTGCAGATGAACCATTAGTTCACATTTTCTAAATGATAAAGTGTTTAAAATGGAGGAAAAGTTGGTACAGATAAAAACCTATTTTAGATAACATCACACGCTAAAGCACATGTTCCAAAATCTAGAACTGTATAAGGAATAGAAATATTGTTTAGGATAGGTAAAATGAAGGAATATGTATCCATCCCCAGCAAAAAAATATATAAATAAAATATATATATATATTCTGGACACTTCAAGTTGAATTAGAGCACAAAGTCCAAGTTTTATGTCTGTTCTATCCTCTCTCAGTCTCAGTTTTAAAATCATCTTAACTGCCTGTAAGAAGCAGCACAGGTGGAATTAATAATGTTTATGATTTCTTAGTTCTGTTTAGTGTCCTAGTAAATCACAGCAACGAGCTAACATGGACAACAGCGGGGCTTTTCCTATGTGGAAAGCAGCCCTCATAAATACACCTGTGAATTCCTCGTTTGACACGTTTGAACTGCTTGAAAAACACATTGATCACATTCCCTTACTAACCTCAAGGAGTCTCTGCCTGGAAATTTTGCTATCAGTGCTTCTTTGGTTGCCTCTCTACTTCTGTCCCTACTCTGGTCCACATTTGTCCACTTTTCCCATTGATTTCACTGACCTCATCCACCTTCTTCTCAATCCCTGACTGACTGACCCCTCATTGCGTCCTCCCAGTTTCAGCTGTTGCTCCTTCTTTCCTTCTTCTCCTCAATTTTCTCCCGTGTCCTCTCACAACCTCCCTCTGAGGATTTAAAACTTATAGCCTCCAGATTGGGCCTTAAAAAATGCCCGGTACGTTTCCCACTGAGAGAAAAGAGCTGGTTACTTCCTAGCAAGAGGATTGGCTCAAAACTTAGAAAACCACCATGTGCACTAAAACTAGAAGACTGTTCATCATCATGTTTTATGAGTGTATAGAATGAGCTTTGGAAGAAAATGTTGAACACTTAAGAATGTAGAAAAGAGCGTGGCATTGCAGTAAATAAAAGGAATTGGCAAGTGCAGAAACAGTAGATGGTTTAACATGAAGTTTGCCGTTTGTTGGAAAAATGTAATATCAGCTCTTAATGTCAACGCCTAATTTTCTTACGTTTGTTTTTCAGATGGAGTTCGATGAGAAGGAACTCCGCAAGGAGATTAGCTACGCTATCAAGAACATTCACGGCATCAGGCATGTCTGACCTTCAGCTCCCCCTCCATTTTCCCATCCCTCATTTGTCACATCACATCCCTCCATCTCTTTGTCTCCATCCCCGCTGCAGCATTTAACAACTCCTCTAATTCAGGCATAGACTCTTACATTGATGGCTCTCTTGCAAATAGATTAAACAATACTCCGAGTTAAAGGAATTTCATGGTCAGTTAGTGGTCAACATGTACTCGGTAATCTTGCCTTATATTAGCTTTTTTAATGTGTGTGTTGGCCTATTCATCTGTATGCTTGATCTTACTTGTGTGGTAGCTCACTCTGTCCTTGTGGTCGCATCTGGTTTGTGTACGACTTATGTTCCAATAACCACTGTGCCATCCATTAAGACTAAAACATTAGGAGTCACATATTCATGTTTATTTAAAATAGTGTTTGGTTTATTTAAGAACAGTTGTCAGAAGGATTTTTGGGCTTGTGAAGTTAGACTAAAGAAAGTGGTCATGCTAAGTGTTAAATATTACTGCACTGTGCAAAGAAATTATTTGTCATTTCCACAAAAAACTGAATCTTTGGACTGTTTGTCACTAATTTTCTACCCATTTTTCCAATGCTTTATCTGACGTCTGTTTGAAACGAGACTGAAACAGCCTGTCTTGATCTGAATGCTCAGATTTATGCTTGTTTATTAGTGTATGTTTTTGGGAAAGTAAAGCTCAGTAACGGAGGGTAAATTAACTTTCTTCTCTCTGCCCAACCCTCCTCTCTCCTCTTTCTCTGCACCTGCCCTCTTGTCCTCGGGCCCTGTGGCTGGTTCTCTCTGTATCGGGCAGAACTGGCCTCTTCACCCCGGACATGGCATTTGAGACCATTGTGAAAAGGCAGATTGGGAAGATTAAAGAGCCTTGCACCAAATGTGTGGATATGGTCATTTCTGAGCTAGTCAATACGGTTAGGCAGTGTACCAAGAAGGTAAAAACAAAAAGAGAACAGCGGTTAGCATTTACTTTATATTTGCTTTCAGCCCTCGTCCATAAAACTCCCTCAGCTGTTCACTCCCTTCTGCTGTAGCCACCTGACTCTCTCCAGCCCTTGTTGTTGAGGGGGGCCCTGGAGTGGGAGGGTGGGCTGCAGTTCACCTGCCTGCCTCTTTCCGCCTGTTGTGCTGCTTTGGACGGGTTGGCTGAACAAACTGGCTGTTGTTTGATAGTTGTGCTGGAAAAAATCTTGTCTGGAAGCTGAGGGGATCTGAAAATATAGTTGCTAAGGAAAGACAATACATAGGTGTGTTTAAAAATCTTTAATTTGATTAGTTTTCAACAATTTTCCATTTTCCTAAAAAGGTCTGCATCTGAGACAAGGGAAAGAGAGAGAGACTGGTGATACAAGTCTCTCTCTGGCTTTCTTATTCAGACAGACATGTTTTCATAGAATTGGTTGTTTAGAATTGAAATACCTGGCAACTGTATTGAATGACATCAGTTTCCAGACTTTCTGGTGTGTGAGATTGCAGCCATGCACCTGCAGCCATGACAGTTGCAGCTTAACGGCTTTTCAGCGTCCCTCAGGGGCTACTTATTGAAAATGGGGCCAAAAAAAAAGAGCAGTAGTCTTTATCCCAACAGATCCACTGTGACCAAATGATTTCTACAGCGGCTGGCCTGCAACAGCATGGAGGCCTTGGAGAGTAAATGTTATGATTAGGCTCTCACTGGAAGTCAGAGGAAGAGGAAGGATAGGTGGGGAAAGGGTCAACACCTGGAGATACCAGTGGGGTCTTGGCTAAATGTTGAGGTGCACCGCTGCAGTCTTGCGGTTCGTTGCTTCAAGTTTTTGGCTGGTGGAGTCGTGCAGGCTGGGAGATCTCTCTATTTCTCACTATTTCTCTTGTCTTCTCTTTCTGCTCACTCTTCCCTCATAGAAAAAGACTCCAGAACTGCCCTGTTTTAGAATGGCTTCAGGGGAAACCAAATGTCTCACTTGCACTTTTCTTCCTTCTGTGCTGTTTATCCTTCCAACCCCCAAACCTCTTCTTGTCCTTCCCATCTTCAATTTACTGTCTCTTTCATTTCCATTTTTTTACCCCGCTGTTTATGGTCCTCCACTTTTACCATTTCTTTTCAATTCCTCTTCTTTTTCTTTGTTTCCTTGCTTTCTCATTCTCCGTCTTTGTCTCTTCTCCTCTTACAACTTTTTTTTCGTCATTTTCTCTTGTCTCTTTTGTTCTATTCGTCTTTTTTTTTTGCACCTCTCTTGTCGTGCTGCCTGCTTATCCCAACAGGACGGGGCTATTCACCCCTGACCTGGCCTTTGAGGCCATAGTGAAAAAGCAGATCCAAAAGCTGAAGGAGCCCACACTGAAGTGTATAGATATGGTAGTGAGTGAACTCACCTTCACCATACAGAAGTGTAGTCACAAGGTAAAATGCTGAAGAGAATTAAGCCACTTAAAATCTGTTGATCTCACAGGTATGGGTAGACTGATGGCTGACTGCCTTCTAAGTTAATTTAAGTTGTATTCATTTGTTTAAAATCATTATATTTTTAATCATTTTTAATCATCATGAAAATTATTTTAAATACTTTTATCCAAATGAAAACTGTATAGAAACCTAACATCATTTAAGACTTAAAAAACATATTTTTTTAAATAATGCTAAATCATAAGCTAATATAGAACGGAAAACTGGATACCAAAGTATTTAATTTTTTAATTCGTAATGTATTATAATGTCTTCTCTGTTTGTACAGATCACACATGAGCCTGCCGCAGATGTCATAATCCTGTTGATAATTATCTTAATTATTCAGAAATTTCTCATTTTTTGAGTAGAGGGTCAACAGGAAGTTAGATTTTCATCCAAAGAACGACACAAAAAAAGGAACTAAAGAAGGCAGGTTAAGACACCATGATGTAAAACCACAAGGGTTGCCTTAATGGTGGGGATGTTTCCACCAAAAAGCTTTACCCTCTGGTAACCCAAATATTAAACTGAAATGACTTAAATATCTTTATGTCAGACTGAGTATTCAATGATAAAGTAGGGAGTAAATGTCTAAAGATACTAACTGAAATTAAGTGTTATATTTTCTAAAGAAATAAACAGAAATCCTTGATTCACCTTAAAAGAAAGCAATTAGAAGTTTTCAGCCAGCAAATATCAGTCTATCCTTACTTCATATAATCTGCACTTAATTAGACTTTATTTGTCATTTGTCTTCTGTCAGTTATTGGCCTTAAGTTGATAATTTATTAAACTGCATGTGAGAAAATGTTCTTTCTTACAGTATTCTTTCTCATTACGTTTGAAAATACCTTGAGTTAATTCTAATCAAAATCATGCAACCCCGTTTCCAAAGAGTTAGGACCCTGTGTAAAATACCACAGTAGTACAATGTGCTTATGAGATCATTTAAACCCATATTTACTTGATAACAGCACAAATGCAAACCATTTAATCATTAAAATTACAAATTCTATTTACATGAGTGAATTATTTTTCAAATACATGCTACAAATTTGTATACTTTATGCTGTACGAGTACTTCTAGACTGGGGAAGATGAAACGCTTTTCCAATCTTTTTTTATATATTGTGTAAAACTGCTTAAGAGTTTGTGTTTGTGCCTCTGATATAAATTATTCTTAAGACTGCAGTATATTTGGCTTCCAAATATATGTGGTGGGTAAAATATGAACGTAGAAGCAGTAGTAGGACAAGGAGGTTGGTTGTACAAATTGATGTTTGTATAAGTCCTTCCTCTCTGCTGTGCTTAAGCTTTGCTGGCAAAAGTGGAAGCCTACCTTTAGAGAGGATGTTCTGTGTACACACTGCTGTTTGTTACCAGCAGAGGGGAGGTCCTTTATGGAGCTCTAATCACTCACAGAACTGGTGCTACCCTCATGTTATTATCTTACAAAGCTAGATATCTAAAGATGTCTTATGCAAAATATTACATCTCATTCTATGGTGAATATGGGCTTTGATCATTTTGGCAATCACTGCACATTTGTGTTTTACACAGTTTCTAATCTTTTTTGGAAACTTGTTTGTATTCTTCTGTCTTTGTCAGTATGGTTAAATACACCAGAGTGACTGATTTGTGTAGTTCCACTCACAGACTAACTGACTCACTCTGAGCGTCTCTTTATTTCTCTTTTCATTTCTCTTTCATCCCTTCCTTCCTGCCATGACCTAAGCTTTTGCTTTCTTGCATATGTGACCTCCTCTGGATTTCTCTGCCGTGTCACATTTTATCTTGATTTCACTTTCAGAGATATACGGTATTTAAAGATACTGTATTCTAATTAACAGTTTTGGGGGAAATCCACAAAGGGGTCAGTTAGAAGTCTTCCTCCCTGTCTGCCATATTTCTCTCCCTTCCCTCTTTGCCTGTTTGCATTGCATGTCTATCTGAATCACTGAGTGCCTCTGCCTGATGCCTATTTTCAACAGAGGAACAATTTTTTTTCCCCATTTAGTCTGTGATGTGTTTTGTGCTAGTTTTGAAGAAACTGAACACTTCCACAGATTGTGACGGTTTTGATTTTTATTCAAGTTGCAATGCATCTTTCCAAGAGCAACAATTCCTTTCCTTTCAACATTTTCTTTCTCACTTTATTCATTGGTTTGGTTTTGTTTTCATGGTTTTCAAAACTTTCATTTGTTAGTATGATGTCAACAAGCTTTGAAAACCGTGAAAAGCTTTTCATCAGGTCAGTTTCAATAGGTAATTGGACAGAGGTGACACTGTTTGTGACAGCTGCCATCTGAATGATTTCTAATCTGTTCTGTTTGTATGACCCTACCACAAAAATAGAAAAATATCCTCTGTTGGCTTTACAATCTGTAATGCGGCACAACGTCTGTTGTCCTTAGAAACCCAGTTTTAAACTACTCTGAAAAAAATGTATGGACAGAAAAAAGGGGGGAACCACAGACATAAGCAACAGTTTAGTAAGAGTCTTTCTGTACTTATATTATTGTTAGCGGTAAGACCCCAGTTCTTTGTATAATGAGGGGCTGTCTTGCATACAGCTGCAACATGTGAAGAAATGAGAAGCGTGACAGACTGCAGCATGGTTACTCATCATCTTTTTCAAACACTTAGCATGCTGACACTGCAAGTTTTAATGCCAACATTTTGACCCACATTAATCTGAACACTCTGACCCATTCCTCTCCAACATCTACTGTTGTCATCTCCTTTGTAATTGGACCCAGGAAGCAGTAAATCAACTAGTAGACCAGAAAGAAGCTCATTGATACTCACCCATCCCCCAATCCATCTAAAGACATGAAAGATGCATTGTAACTTGCACAGAAACAGCATACGTGTCTCTTTCCTTTGCGCTGTGATTTTGGGTCTTCTTTCCTTACACTTCTGCAAATGTGATTGTGTCACACTGGAGGCCCACCAATGTCTCCATTTGTGGGTTTGCAATGAGCTCATGGAAAAAGATCCACAGTGTACAGGGAAAAGAACGCCTTTCTGCCAGGAACATTGTTTATCCTTCGTTTGTGTGGTAAAATCACAGACTTTGCTCTATTCTTTTGCACATTTACATTTTTGAAAACATGAAATCTAATTGCGCCCAGTGGTTGGGGCGTGCTGGGATTAGAGCTGAGTCTGGGATAAACCCAGAGGCCTTCAGATCACACCATGTTTAACTGTGTTTCTGTATTTTGTTGTATCAGTGGAACTGTGTGTTGTGATTCAGTGAGATGAGTAATTTTGTGGTGAACTGAAGCTTGTATGTTGATGTCGGGCTGTGTGCATGTTTGTGTATTTGCTACCTACCTACTGTTTCCTTGTGCTCACAGCTTGCTCAGTATCCCATGCTGAGAGAGGAGATGGAGAGAATTGTCACTCAGCACATCAGGGACAGAGAAAACCGCACCAAGGGTCAGGTAATACATCAGTGGATGCATCCCATTATTCATCGAGCAATAAAAAATAAAAATAAATCAAGGATCAATTAAAATGTCTAAAAAGGTCTCCAAAAACATTACAGAGAAGTAAAACAGTTTCTTACCAGCTTCCATAAATGGTAGATTTGATATCTATACAGATAAACTAGAAAATCATCACATGTATGATGTACAAGATTTGGTGTTTTTTCACTCTTAATTTCACGTGTCACAACACACTAGATTATTTTCAGGTTTTCCTGTTGTATTGGTTTTAACACAGAGATGCAGCTAATGATGGTGTAGTATTTTTTCTGTTTGGGATGTACAACATGCCTAGAACCAGACTCATTTTCTTAAGCATATTACTGTCCAAGGCAATCCTGTGAAATGGGATCAGTAAAGGTAAAGACTATAAAACGTCATTGATGACAGCTGTTTCTCTGCTCAGGTGCTGCTTTTGATAGACATTGAGTTGTCCTACATGAACACCAACCATGAGGACTTCATTGGATTTGCCAAGTGAGTTTTTGTCCTTTTTTCTGTACTTTCATTTTATGATAAATCTCCTTCCACTGTGTTACTGGACTCACGGGAGTCTTCTTATGTACTTTGTTGTGCAGCGCTCAGCAGAGGATCAACCAAATGAACAAGAAGAAGGCAGCTGGCAATCAGGTACTCAAATCAGAAATGTATAGACCTCTTCACTGTTACTTCTGTTATTTGTGTTTTTAAGATTATAGCCAATCTGTGTGATTCTCTTTGGGATTTCAGATTGAATTTATCCAAAAGCTTTGTCCGTTGGACAACAACTATAATTTTTTTTTCTCTTCTCTCAACACTTGGGTTTTCTCATGCCAAATGTTGTACAGACATACAAGATCTAATTACCAAAACCGAATACTCAGATCACTGGGTAGCCTTCTAGCACATCGGAGAAAACAGTTACTCATGCATCTGGACCTCAAACAAAGAAAATAAAGAACACAATTGAATTTAGTTTGACATTTTCCTCCATGATTGTGCATATCAAAAACAAAAATGTTTTGTGGGTTTAACTTTGATGTTACTGAAATTGATTACTGTCACCAAACACTTTATATTCCTCTGAGAAGCTCAATCACAACACTCTTTTGGTCCGAAAAGACCTTTAGCATGATTTGCTTTTAGGTGTATTTAGGCCTGCTTTGTAACTTCCTCTTTTTGCTTTTCATATTTTCCACTTTTACTCTTCGACCTTCCTGCCTGCGGCTCCTGTTGTCTTATATCTATCTTCTTGTTGCCATGCAACACTTCTAATATTTCTGAGGGCTTTTTCTCTTTTCCTTCTGTTTCCCCTTTCCTACCTCCTCTCTGTGGCTTTTCTACCGCAGGATGAAATCATGGTGAGTAGTGTGCGTTTAAAAATGTTTATGTAGTTCTCTGCATGTCTGCAGATAGGCCTCCATCGGTTTGAGCTTCTCCTTGAGCGCATCTGTGTGTTTAAACTTCTTTTTAAGTGCTAACTGACTGCTGATACATGAGTTTTTGTGTGATGAGTAAGTTTCATGGTAATTGCTGTTAGATGGTAAGTGGCTGTAGTGAGAGAGATGCTTGGCTGCTTCCCTTTCCTCTCTTTTTCAGCAATGGTCACCCGGCTAGCGCGCCCACACACACACACGCACACACACACACACACGCAGACACATACAAACTCACACACACACACAAATACATTGTAAATGTAATTTACAATGCGATTTAACAAAGTCCAGCCCATAAAGGACATAAAAGGATAAGAATCTGGATAACTTCCACACAGCATTATTATCTTGTGTCAGCCTTATACCTTAGCCTTATACCTCAGTCAGATATAAAGTCTTTGCAGATGCTGTTTAGCTCTTTATGCTTGATTTGACTCAGTGAGACAGAGAGTGTCTACAGACAAAAAAAGACTACAGGAAAAATTTGTTGATGAAATAGATGCCCTCATAAAAAGACCAACAAGAGAAATCAAACCCCTGTTTCCTGCTTCTTCATTTCATACAAAGTCCCAAAGAGTTGGGGGAGGTGAAGACCTGCAGTGTTACACACACATGGCTCCCCCATAGCTGTCAGTAGTCATAACAGCCGTCCAGATTAGGGGTCAAAGGCTCAGGGCACACGGTAAACACAGGGGTAAACTTCACTTCCTGTTTATAAATGGATGTTTTTGTTCTTCTCAGTCAACACTTTTGATAATTCTTTAACCCCACTTCAGCCGCAAACTTGATAGAAGTAGCCAGTTATTATATATAAACTAATCAGGAATAGTTTTAAAGATGAATCTTACCGTGGTAATGCATTCTCAGGATTTGGAAACAATACCATTTGTTGGGCAACAATTATTATTGCTGATTATTTCTTGAAAATTAGTTTTTTATTTCCCTGTTTGTGAAAGGGTGCTTACAATGGTTATTTACTTCGGTTGTAACTTTATGGCCTCCCAAAATCAAAATAACAACAGTCAAAGCTTGAGCACATACAGGACAAAAGGAAACACTTCAGTCTCTGCTTTGCAGTGCATGAAGTTAAAAAAGATTTGCCCGCGGGCCAGTCTTGTAGCCAACTGAACTCCCTCATTCCTTCCTGCTTGCTGTCCCCTCACTCCAGTCCCAGCATTCAGCCATAACCTGCTGGTGACTGAGCCACCATGTGTATTTGGCCTTTTCTAAATGCCATGACTTGGCATAGTTTTGTAATATTTTCTCCACGTTCTCATTCAGCCGGAGAGAGGAGTTAGCGATCGTTTCAAGGTAAATTACCCACACAACATCTTTTGTATGTCTGTAGTGTCTGTGAAGAGGAGAGAATGAGGTCCACTCGTATGGAATAGGAAATAAAGAGTGTGAGGGGAGTGTTTAGTCATGTAGGTGTGTGGTAGGTGTTTGTTCACCAGAAGCAATTTCAGTACAACTTCACTGTCTAGGTCCTTATGTAGAGGTTTGGTGAGTTGATGATGAGGTTTTGAAATGACGATGACCAAAGATGGGTAACATTGCATTGGTCTAAATGATTCCGAACCAATTCCCTTGTGCTTTCTTCTGTTTGCCAGGTGATCAGAAAAGGGTGGCTGACCATCAACAACATTGGCATCATGAAGGGAGGGGCCAAGGAGTACTGGTTTGTCCTCACTGCCGAATCCTTGTCCTGGTACAAGGATGACGAGGTGAGAAATCCTGCATTCACACATAGGAAATATGTGTTTGCACATTTATGGACATTTTTTACTGGTCTGAACTGAATTTGAAGAAAGCGATCAATCCGCATGTCGGATCTTCTAAAGCACCAGTCAGCTGCTTTGTATTGCTGTCTAAAAACAGTATGAAGTGAAAGTCTAACAAAATGACATGACAGGATGGGAGTATTTTGTCATAAAGAACACAACCTTGGTTAAATATAATGGATTGCTCTTTTTTAAATCTTCTTTCAAAGTGTAGGCTTTCAAAAGCTTTTCAGCGCTTTTTAAAACTTTGAAAGACTATTTCTGGGAATGTAAGTTGTAATTCTTTCAAGAGATATGTATCTGGTAGGACAATTTAATGGTTTTGGAGTAAACTGCAGTTTTCCCTGTTGAACCTGTTTTATCAGCTCCTATATTTTTCTGGGAAGATTTTCCTTAAAGTTTCTAGATGTGTATTTGGTGAAACACAGATAGAAAGGTCAAACAAGGACATCTTTCATGCCTAGAAAAAGAAAAGGTTGCTCATGGTTTTGAAATCCTCAGGTTCTTGGCCATTACAGTGTTTTATTCCTTCTCTGTCTCAAACATGAAATTTTCCAACAAATTACAAAACCATAACTATTTAATCGGGACATGACTGTTCATTCTCCTTTCCACTTTCTATTCCAAAATTAATTCCAGCTCCTTCCAATGGCAAATATGCCTCTCAGTCAAGTTCGGTGGTTGTCCTCTGCGTGCTTAAATGATTTGACCTGCCCTGTTACTGGACTAACTGGCCCAAGTGGTATTCCAGGGTGCTTTGCAGAACTATTAAGGGCCAGCCACAGTCTCAGTGTCTCCAGGCCGTAGCCACAGCCGTTGTGCTCACTGACACCAGGCCCAGAATGTGTGTGTCTGTATGTTTGTCGGTGTGTTGAGATGGCCGTTTTGAAAATGCTAAGACCCCCCAGCATGTCAGACACCGAAGCTGGCACCCACATGTGCATACCAGAGCCTCCTGTCCTGCTCTGTTCCTAATTATCCATACACGTACGCAGGCACACACACACACACGCACACACGTACACACACACACACACATATGCATGCACATGCACACACACACACTCACACAAGCTGCTTTTAATAAGCCTATTTCATTTCAAAGATTGGGCACAGAGCAAAAGAGGGACTGGATTGGATAGGAGGAGATGGGTGGAGGTAGAAATGCCTTTTGTTAGTTGATCAGTAGCAGGAGTTGAAAGATCATGTGAAGGGGTTGAGAAAGTGTAGAGAAGGGTAGGAAAGGCAGAGGGGGAGAGAAAAGGGTGAAATGGCTGGCATTAATTTTAATTCCTCTCATTTTCTTCCTCCCTTCAGCATCCTCAGTCCTTAAAATCTGAAAGGAATGTTGCCATCGCCTCTTTTTTCCTATGTTTCAGCCTTCTCCCTCCATCTTTCCCTCCATTTTTCAACTGTATATTTATTATTCATTGAGCTGTGAGGGTGCATGGAGACCAAAAACCAACAATCTGCCGGTGTTACAGCTCAGTGCAGAGGCTGGAGGGCACTGCAGCGCTGCATACGGTCCAAAGAAAAAAAAGAAGGAAAAGAAATGTAAAAAGATCTTTTCCATCATGTTTCCTATCCAAGCTTAATATTTTACAGAGGCCCCTCAATCACACACACATACACCCACACACACTATAGGCTGGAGTTTTCCTGAGGGCTTACACTGTGAACCTAGATGGACATATGCCAACATACACACAGTAAATTAGATTTGAAAAGAAAAATGTTTCAGTGCGAGCAGCTTTTGTGCATCTTTTCTGTAGTTTTAACAGCCTCAAACTGACACATACCAGCTCTCAAAAGTCGGCATTGCCGTTTTATTGGCTGCTTCAAGCCTCGGGAAAAACCCTCACTGTAGTTTGGCAATACACACGCCCCACAAAAGCACTCATGTACACACGCCACCCCTAGACACCAATAATAACTTTGAACCCAACTTTTGGTGCCAGGATGTTTTGGTTAGCATGTGTGCGTTTTTGTGTGTGTGCACTCTTAGAAACCTTATGGTCTGTATTACCACAGCACATGCTGATTCTTTGAATCATACTTCTCTTTAGCCTGAAGCTTCCTGAACCAGAAAAAGAGCAAGGAAATATTAATAAGGGGAAAAAATGTTTAAAATAACACAGGTTTCCAAAGGTAGAGTTGTTACTTTGCTGTCCTTCGGTGGTTGTAGGATGTGTTTTCTTTGGGTGCCCTTTGTGTGTCTGCCCACTGGGCGTGTGTCCGCCTGGGTTTCCCTGCGCCTGCTGTAAAGCTGCCAGAAAACCAGACTCGCCTGGTGATCCCGGCTGTAAACATCCTGGGGGGAGAGCAGCCGACTGCTGCTTTCAACACACTCACAAGCACCATGTCTGCTTTATGGTGAATGTGTGTGTCTGCTATAACACAGGGGTTGTGCCTTTGTTTTTGGGGCCGTAATTTATGTAATGTATTTTAAAATATGCATATAAATATACATGGGTACGTACACAGTAAGTACACAAATAGATTTCTATTTTATGTGCAGTGGCAGGGCTCTGAATGGTTGGTTTGTGGTTTTCATTCCTGCACGTGATGCTCTGTGATGGGACACGGTGTGAATATTTCCGCCCCCTTCATTGCTTTTGTTTGTTTGAAGAATCCAGGATTGTGCATTGTGTGGGTTTTTCTTCATCAAATGCAGACCTGGCTTAAAGGTGAAATGTGGCCACAGAGAGAATGTTTTAAAGGAAACATAATGAGGTACAAAGCAGGCGAGGGGGAGTCTAGCTAAACTTATAACTTTTCTCATGATGTCACCTAAAAATGCTGAAGCCACAAGCTATTTTCTCTTTTTCTTTTCATTGAAAGCCATACGGTGGCTCATAAAGTCCGTGACTAGACAATGACAGAGTGGCTGCTATTTCAGCATTTTTGCATGGTGGCTTCCCGCCTCTCCGAGCGTTACATGGTCATTTGAGGTAAAGCAGCCACAAACTGATACAGAAAAAGCAGAGGCATAATTGTACATTTACATCAAGGGTGCCGTGTGATGCTGGGGGTTTACTCTGTGCTTTAGTTATCTTTTAGGTTGAGTGTTCATATTTTTCTCTGTGGCTGACTGTTTTCTGGTTTAAGCCAGATCTTTCGGTTTTGTTGAAAAATAAACAACAAGTTGAGAGTGTCATGAAACCAACACTTACATCAGTTTGATTGTGCTATTTACGTCAAATCCAAAGCCAACAATTTTGCTCTTGCTTGAAAGAAGAAAAACAAACACAATATTACAGAAAACTCCAAGTAACTTTATTGCAGCTATTTCAACTTATTGTCACAATCCTGACTTGGTTTGATGACACGAAACACAAAGAATTACCACAGTTTCCAAAAAAGTAGGAATTAGCCTGGATAGATCCGTCCTGAAAGAGGCTTAGGCCTCTCTGGTGGAGCCTTTGGGTGCTTTATTTAGGCTTGTGCCCAGGCTGGTCCAGATGGATAAAGGGTGGTGCTGATGTTACTGGGCCTCTTGGTCACTTTTCATGTTCGTCTTTTTGGACAATCTGATTGTCCGTGTGCTTCCCCGGCCAGCCTAACCAATGTGCAGACTACTGTACAACCACTACTTCCTGAACAGGTAGTCTGAACACTGGGCAGGCGGGCTGGGCGGCTGAAGGATGCTGCTGTGGAGAGGATTTATTTAAAAAAAACTCACACTTCCAGATGACGGACGCTGACAAACGCATTGCCGCACACCTCTCAGCATACTCACTGTGAGTCCAGTCTCAGACTCTGGAGTCCAGCTCAGTCTGCTCACAACCGCTACAGGGTGCTGATCAGGCTGCTTTAGTGAGCCGGAGGAAAAAAACAACATTAAATGGGATGGAAGAGACGGAGGAGAGGTTAGACAGAGGTGATAGCCACTGATTGGCAGACTCAATGACATTCCCTCCTGTTTCCCACTGTGAGAAGCAACATTCCACACCGGGCTCTACAGGGGAACCCAAGACAGAGAGTCTTTTTACTATATGTGGAAGCAAAACTAGTTTATAACAATCAATGCTCTCACTGAGTCTGATTTGAATCATATTTGTCGAAAATACGAAAACCCCTAAATCTTTCAGAGAATTGTTTAGTTTGGAAATAATTAACAAAATCAAGCGGTTCTGAGCAGTCTCTATAAGGATGAAAGCAGACAGCATACACAGACCAAAAAAAACGTCTAAAAACAAAGGGTCACGAACGCTCTTGTGGAGCCCAATCTCTGTTTGAGACTGATGAAGCCCGGACAGAAACAAAACAAGTCAGGGCATCTTATGAGAAACAGAGATCAACTCCAGCACCCTTTTGTCTCAAGAGCTCTTAATGCCTCTCGGAGAGGAAATAATTAGACAATATTTGTGGTCAGCTGAGATCATGCCAACTCTTACCCAACACCTTTCACCAAACCTTTGTTTGCTCACTCCAAAAGTGTTGATCGTGGACGGACTACCTGCAACGCGTTGATCTCATTCCTCTTCTATGACTCTTGAGTATCTCTTATTCTTCATGGCATTTGCTTTCCATCTGGAGTAGTTAAGCCACACTTCAGAGCCGAGTTTCCCCAAACTCTTGTCTGACGCTGAAATTACGTAAAAATGCTACTTTTCGGAGCAAAAATGGAAAAATAATACCGTCGCTCCTGTCACAGGCTAGGTGGACCGGCCGGAGGTTCGACGTGGCAGAGGGACTGGCCACCAAGTTCCCACTTCTGGGGACAGAAGGAGAAAAGGAGCGACGGAGACAGGAGATATGGAGAGGGAAAGAGGAGGAGCTCCTCGGCCCCCCATTTTTCCTTTCTCCTCTCTTCTTTCTGACTCCCCTCCCTCTGTCTGCACCCCCCTCACTCCTCTCTTTTTTCTGTCTTTCTTCTCTGGCTTACAAGGAGAAAGTGGAAGGTCAAAGGTTAACAGGAAGTGAGATGCATTCATTTGACG